GTTTTGCCAGACACTGGTGGCTTACATCTAGGATTATGATCGTAGTTACTCAGATGGGTGAGATCTGGCATCACAGTTCAAAGCCAGCCAAAGCTGAAAGGTCCCTGAGACTCTTATTTTCAGTTAACCAACAAAAAAGCCAGAAGTGGAGCTATGGTTCAGGTGTGGTAGAGCATTAGCCTAGAGTGAAAAAGCTCAGGGATAGTGCCCAGACCCTGAGTTCAAGCCACAGTACCAGCACACATAAAAAAATTGAAGTCTTATTAGGAAAGGTGAAAGAAAAGTATTCTAAGAAGCTCAAATCTAGCATGGTTTATTTTATTTTATTTATTTATTTGCCAGACCTGGGGCTTGAACGCAGGGCCTGGGCACTGTCCCTAAGCTTTCTACTTGGGCCACAGCACTACTTCTAGCTTTTTCTGTTTATATGATACTGAGGAATCAAATCATGCTAGGCAAGCAGTCTACCACTGAGCCACATTCCCAGCCCTAGCATGGTTTATTTTAAATGCTTCCTAAAGGCTTTATTCCAGATTAAGCCCTCTTCCCAGTCTTAGCATCATCATCATCATCATCATCATCATCATCTTTATTATTTTTGCATTTCAACTCAGGATGTCATGCTTGCTAGGTAGACTCTACTACTTGAGCCATTTCTTCAGCCCCCTCCCTACATTTTTTGTTATTGTTTAGTTCTTTTTCAGATAAGGTTAACTCAGACCATGATCCTCCTACTTAACACTTTTTTTTTTTTTGGGGGGGTCCGGTCGTGGGACCTGAACTCTGGGCCTGGGCGCTGTCCCTCAGCTCTTCAGCTCAAGGCTAGCGCTCTACCACTTGAGCCACAGCGCCACTTCCGGCTTTTTTCTTTTTGCTTATGTGGTGCTGAGGAATCGAACCCAGGGCCTCAGGCATGCAAGGCAAGCGCTCTACCACTGAGCCACCTTCCCAGCCCCTACTTAACACTTTGTGTAGCTGGAATTATAGGCATGTACTACCATGTCCAGCCCTAGCCTGGTTTATTGTTGTAGCTGTGAGTTTGCTTCTTCCCTCTGCTTTCCCCACACAGTTGGGTTTTGTTCTTTCTTGTATCCCTTCCTGTCTGTCTGTCTGTCTGCCTTCCAGCTAGATTCTCCTGTTTCGATGCTGTTTAACACACACACACACACACATGCCCATTGCTCAGTGTGTCAGGGCTGCTGTACCTCAGTATGAGGACGCTTGGTTCATTTCTGTCCTCATGTGCTTCTTCTGTTGTTGTATTTCCCTCCTTTAGATTCCAAGGAAATAGATCGTGGGAGAGCAAGAGTGAGGCATAGCGAAGGGGGAGATGTCCCCCCTAAGTACTTCGTGGTCACTAATAACCAGCTGCTGCGTGTGAAGTACCTGCTGGTGTACTCGCAGAAGCAGCCCAAGAGGTAAGGAGGAGGCGTTGTTCCTGTCTGGAGGCCAGGAGAGGATGGAGGGGCTGAATTCAGACTCTGATTTATCATCATCTGCCCCACTTAGCCCCGGGCCTCAGGCCTCCGCTGTGTCTAAAGCATGGCACGCTCACTGCTGGACAAGGGGAGTCAGGGAGATGCAGGCTCGACTCCTAGGCGACATCAGAATAGATATCTAGAGGAGATTTGGGGACAAGTATTGCGAGATTTATCCACACACAAGGCCTATGAGGGACTGTATGAAGTCCCGCTGGTGACATCTGACCCCTGGACCCATGATGTCAGCGGTAACCCATTGGTGAGGCTATGCTAAGCAGCAGCGTGGTTACCCGATCCTGGCTGACACTGTGTGTAGGCAGGCTTTGCAGCCACTGCCTGGTCCTCCCTGTATAGGCCTGAGGAGCTGCTCCGCTTCTTTTCCTCCTCTTCTGCCTCCTCTTCCTCCTCCTCCTCCTCTTCTTCCTTCTTCTTTCTTCCTTCTTCTGTGCTGGTACTGGGGCTTGAACTCAGGGCCTGGCCACTCTCACTTGGCTTTTTTGCTTAAGGCTGGCACTCTACCATTGAGCCACACTTCCACTTCTGATTTTTTGCTGGTTAATTGGAGTTAAGACTCACACAGACTTTTTATTTTATTTTATTTTATTTGACCTGGGGTAGATTTGAACTGTGATCCTCAGATCTCAGTCTCCTAAGTAGCTAAGATTATAGATGTGAATCACCAGCACCTGGCCCAGGACTTTTCTTTTCTCTTTGGTCAGTCATGGGGCTTGAACTCAGAATCTTGGTGCTGTCCCTGAGCTTTTGCACAGGCTGGCTTTGAACCATGATCCTCACATCTCAGCTAGGAGGCATGAGCAACTGGTGCCCTGCAGGACTTTCAACTTTTCACTCTTAAAATGAGGGTGTTGAGGCTGGGGGGGAGGAGGAGTTGTAGCTTGGTGGTAGAATGCCTGCCTTGCTTACGTGGGACTCTGGGGTTTAATCCAGTGCTATAAAAGATAAAAACAAGCAAATAAGGTGAGAATGTTGGACCAAGTAGTAGGCAAGGTTTTCCAGCCCTGAAGAACTGTGGTTATTGCCTGGTCCTATCTAAGTAGTGAGGCAGTAGGAAGACCTACAGGGAACTCAAGATGGAGGTTAACACTGAGATCTTTTTCTTCTCCTTCTCCTTCTCTTCTTTCTTGTTGGTATTGAGGTTTGAACTTAGTGCCTCAAGTCTCAGCTTGCTTGCTCCCAGCTGGCATTTTACCACTTGAGCCTCACCTCCAGCCCAGCTTTTTGCTAGTTATTTTGTGAGAGTGGAGTCTCACAGATGTTTCTGCCTGGCCTGGCCTCAAAACTTCATCCTCCAGATCTCAGCCTCCTGAGTAACTGGGATGACAGGTATGAGGTACCAGCACCTGGCTTTCCCTTTGTGATCTTGTCAGAATGTTGGGGTCCAGCTGCAGGTCAGCAGCAGGCAAGCAGGATGATAGGAAAAGGGATTACTTTTAGTAATCTTGTTCTTACTCAACCAGTGGTTTCCATGTTTCTGAATTTCAGAAACCACTAAAATCGACTCCCCACCCCAAATTTGGGACACTACAGGATTCCTGAGTTCTGGAGTCTAGGAGACATTATCTATTGGTTTAAAAATCAGGTGACTTGGAGCTGGGAAGTTGGCTCAGTGGTAGTGTGCTTGCCTTGCATGCATGAGGCCCTGGATTCAATTCCTTGGCACCAAAAAAAGCCAGATGTGGCGCTGTGGCTCAAATGGTAAAGTGCTTGAGCTGAAGAGCTGAGGGACAGCGCCCAGGCCCAGAGTTTAGGCCCCATGACTGGCCAGAAAACAAAACAAAACAAAATCAGGTGACTTTTTTGATGTAAAAATTCCATTTATTTCATACTTCTTTGTGGAGTTTTTTGTTTTGTTTCATTTTGTTTTTCTTTTTGGTGCTGGTCTTGGGGCTTAAACGCAGGGTCTGGATGCAATCCTTGAACATTTTGGTCAAGACTAGTGCTCTATCACTTGAGCCACAGCTCTACTTCTTTCTTTTTTCTTTTCTGTTTTTTTGGTTGGTTGTGGATCTTGAACTCTGGGCCTAGGCACTGATCCTCAGCTCTTCAGCTCAAGGCTAGCACTCTACTACTTGAGCCACAGCACCATTCCCAGTTTTCTGGTGGTTAATTGGAGATAAGAGTCTCACAGACTTTCTTGCCTGGGCTGGCTTTGAACTGAGATCCTCAGCTCTCAGCCTCCTGAGTAGGTAGGATTACAGGCATGAGCCATGGGAGCCCAGCTCACTTCTTTCTTTTTAAAAGCTCATTGGAGATAAGAGTATCGTGGACTTGCCTGCCGCACCTGGCTTCCAATGTGATCATTAGATCTCAACCTCCTGAGGAGCCAGGCTACAGGCATGAGCTGGAAGTGTGTCTTTTGTGCAGACTTGGATGTCTTAGAACATCTCCCAATGGGCCAAAGAGGATTTCCCCAGCTCACATTTTCATGCACCAAGTGAAAAGATCTTTTTACTCAGTAACCTGTTGCCATTTGGGCAGACTCCCCTGAGTGCGGTCATTCTTTTAGATACCAAAGTCTTGCTTAAGAATAGATGGGTTATGAAAGGTAAAAAAAAAAAAAAGGAACTTAGAAAAGGGGAACTTGGGGTGAGCTCATTGCCTAGCTGTCCTTGTACATTTAGAAAATGTTCTGTTGAAAGAGTCTTTGATGCCAGAGCAAACAATCCCAGATTTCTCTAGTAAGGCAGCACGAAACTTCTTACAGCTCACGCAGAGGATGAAATTCATCATTTCATCTTCTTTGAGCCAGTACTTGTTGCATACACTTTTTTTTTTTTTTTTTGGTTTTTTAAATGTTTTTCTCCTATTGCAACATCACTCATTTTCTCCTTTAAGCAGAGCATCGAGCCAATTCTCCTGGTTTTCCAGCCATTGGTTTATGGTCATGATGTCCCTGTATTTGCTGCTGCTGCTTTTAGTAAGCATCATCAACTCCAATACCTTCCAGCACTTTTGGAATCGTGCAAAGAGATGATCATTTGGGCACCTGGTATGGGCATCCACCTCGGCCACACGCCTTAAAATCTTCATTCTTCTACCTCTGGTGCCTCACTCAGCCAAGCCTGAGGACCAATTGTGGGACCACAGGACCATTTTCCAGATGCCATCAACGGACTGATTGCCTTTGAAGATGTTCCCAGACATACTTTAGTCAAGTTGTGTGTGTAGGGGAATGTCTGGCTTCTCACTCGAAGGTTCCAGAGGAGCCCTTCTAACCACTGCTTCCTAAACAGTCCTCTGAAATGAACTTTTTTTTTTTTCTAGCCAGGGCCAAAGGAAAAAGTCGTGCCACATTTAGGAAGCAAGTGTTCAAGCCATCAGTGGTATGTTGACAATCATTCTTGGCAGAGGTTGGGTGTTTTCTAATGCCTTCTGGAAGGCCGCAGCAGGGAACTATCAATCACGACGCAGGCGGTTGCCTTGTTTTGACTCAAGACACCCAAGAGAGACAGTCATGTTTCTCATAAAAAAAAAAAAAATATCACTGCAGTTGTTTTGGGATTCCGTCAGCTTTTGTGTGTGAGTGCAAAACATTTTAACAATTTTCTCAAATCAACAAACTAGCAGGCACTAGAAAAGGAATCAGGCTTCTTCTTCTTTTTTTTTTTTTTTAAACAATGAGCAACTCAAATTGTCTCTTTCTTACAAATTACCAACTGCTGATTGAGTACAGCTGAGAAGGGACCAAATGATTCTATTCTGATCTGGGAAGAAAAAAAAAATAGCTCTTTGACTAATTAGTTTTTGTGAGCTCAGTAGAGCGGGGGAAATTGCAAATCCAAGAGCACACCATTTGGCCAGGATCCAGTCTCTTAGCTGTGTTTTAGAGAGAAGGATCTGGAGTGGCTGGTTTGCTGGTGTCCTTCACCTCACCAATCTGCCTTGATTGTGGCCTGCCTGTCACAAGTGCCATGCTGCTGGTCTCCAGGGGATAGAAACCTGTAATGTGTGCCATACCATCCACTGGAAGTGAGCCTCCCTCAGCCGTGCTTAGTCTTTGGGACTTGGCCTGGGTTTTTACAAAGGTTGTAGAAAAACTTTGTGGCTGCACAGAGAGCCACCTCCCTGGAAGAATTCTCCATTCTTTTCTCCCTGCTGGCTTCCAGCCATCATAGAGTTCCACTTATATGGGAATGAGATTGTTGTAATGAAGGTGGAAACATTAACTGGGCACCAGCAGCTCATACCTTTAATCCTAGCTACTCAGGAGGCTGATATCTAAGAGTCAGTGTTGAAAGCAAGCTTGGGCTTTAGAAAAGTCTGAGACTGTCTGATATCCAATTGACTAGCAAAATGCTGGAAGTGGAGCTGTGGCACAAATGGTAGAGTACAGCCTTGAACAGAGAACTATAGGACAATACCCAGGCCCTGAGTTCAAGCCCCAGTACTGGCATAAAAAAATTAATTAAAAAGGGGGGGAAAATCATTTTTCTGCACTTTGTGAAATTGTGAAAAGCCACTGTTTCATGGTTTTTACCTTGAATACTGGAACATTTCAAAAATAAAGGTATTTTCCTAATTACTAAGGTCTCTGTGACTATTTTCATGCTCATCACAAGTCAGCTGGGCGTCAGTGGCTCCTAGCTATTTCTGAAGGTTGAGATTTCTGAGGACCACCGTTCAAAGCTAGCCTAGGCAGGGCTGGGAAGGTGGCTCAGTGGTAGAGCGCTTGCCTTGCATGCTCGAGGCCCTGGGTTCGATTCCTCAGCACCACATGAGAAAAAAGCTGGAAGTGGCGCTGTGGCTCAAGTGGTAGAGCACTAGCCTTGAGCTGAAGAGCTGAGGGACAGCGCCCAGGCCCAGAGTTCAGGCCCCACGACCGGACCCAAAAAAAAAAAAAAAAAAAAAAAAGCTAGCCTAGGCAGAAAAGTCTGTAAGACTCTTATTGCCAATTAATCACAGAAAAAGCCAGAAGTGGAGTGGTGGCTCAAGTAGTAGAGTGCTAGCCTTGAGCAAAAAAAGCTCAGGGATGGTGCCCAGGCCCTGCGTTCAAGCCTTAGGGCCAGCACCAAAAAAAAAAAAAAAAGTATAGTGTGAGCCTTAGGTTTAGAACACATTTTGGGGAGCTGGGAAGGTGGCTCAGTGGTAGAGCGCTTGCCTTACATGCTTGAGGCCCTGGGTTCGATTCCTCAGCACCACATAAGCAAAAAGAAAAAACCGGAAGTGGCGCTGTGGCTCAAGTGGTAGAGCACTAGCCTTGAGCTGAAGAGCTGAGGGACAGCGCCCAGGCCCAGAGTTCAGGCCCCACGACCGGACCCCACCCCCTAAAAAAAAAAACACATTTTGGGTTCTGATAGGTATATCAGCTCAGAACTAGGGTAACAGGAGACAATGGGAGAACTCTGGGATCTATGAATGGAAAGATAGGAGGAAGAAAAACCTTGAATGAGGCTTAGCTCTCTCTAAGTACCTCAACCTAAGGCAGATCTCACAAGGCCAAGCATGGTGGGGGCCTGGGTTTGAAACTGGGATTCTGAAGGTTGTAGCAGAGCCTAGTGCCCCGACCATGGAGAAAGAAGCAATCTCTTCACTGAGTAAAATGCCCACAAGACAGAAGTATGCCTGGCACTTGATGGCAGAAGGGAGTGGATGGAGGTTCAGTTAGGGTCCCTTGGACCTAGGTGTTGTGAAAAGCTTTGCCCTCAGGCCTCTGTTACCAGTGTCACTGTCCAGTATACCACTTTGGAAGGGGTAGTGAGTGGGCCTTTCGGATGAAGGGCATGATGGGAAGGGCTCAGTGGGACTTTTTTTTTTTTTTTTTGGTCTGGTTGTGGGGCCTGAACTCTGGGCCTGGGCGCTGTCCCTCAGCTCTTCAGCTCAAGGCTAGCGCTCTACCACTTGAGCCACAGCGCCACTTCTGGCTTTTTTCTTTTTTTTTGCTTATGTGGTGCTGAGGAATCGAACTCAAGGCCTCAGGCATGCAAGGCAAGCGCTCTACCACTGAGCCACCTTCCCAGCCCGCTCAGTGGGATTTTGAATAAATATATGTGTGTAGAGGAGACAGGTCAGAGGATGGATTCAATGTCATTTCTTTATTTTTTTGGGGGGGGGAAGGTCCGGTCATGGGGTCTGAACTCTGGGCCTGGGTGCTGTCCCTCAGCTCTTCAGCTCAAGGCTAGCGCTCTACCACTTGAGCCACAGCGCCACTTCCGGCTTTTTTCTTTTTGCTTATGTGGTGCTGAGGAATCGAATCCAGGGCCTCAGGCATGCAAGGCAAGCGCTCTACCACTGAGCCACCTTCCCAGCCCCATTTCTTTATCTTTTTTGTGCCCATCTTGGGGCTTGAACTCAGGGCCTGGGCACTGTCCCTGAGCTTTTAGTCTCAAGGCTAGCACTCTACCACTTGAGCCATAGCTCCACTTCCAGCTTTTTGGTGATTAATTGGAGATAGGAATCTCATGGACTTTCTTTTTTTTTTTTTTGGGTCCGGTTGTGGGGCATGAACTCCGGGCCTGGGTGCTGTCCCTCAGCTCTTCAGCTCAAGGCTAGCGCTCTACCACTTGAGCCACAGCACCACTTCTGGCTTTTTTCTTTTTGCTTATGTGGTGCTGAGGAATCAAACCCAGGGCCTCAGGCATGCAAGGCAAGTGCTCTACCACTGAGCCACCTTCCCAGCCCCTCATGGACTTTCTTGCCCTGGCTAGCTTTGAACTTCGATCCTTGGGTCTTGGCCTCCAGAATAGCTAGGATTACAGGTATGAGCCATCAACTCCTAGCTTTCAGTGTCATTTCTGATGAATCCATTCCATTAAATACAATTGTGTACAAAGCCAGGAGTGGGTGAGGAGTTTGTCACTTAAAGACTACAATTGAAGCCCAGAGCTGGTTTCTCACACCTGTAATCCTAGCTACTGAGGACGTGAGATCTGAGGATTGAGGTTTGAAGCCAGCCTGGGCAGGAAAATCCATGAGACTCTTAGCTCCAATAAACTACTCAGAAAAATCCAGAAGTAGTGCTTTGGCTCCAGTGGTAGAGTGCTAGCCTTGAGCACAAAGAGTCTCAGGGACAGTGCCCCGCATCCCTGAGTTCAAGCCCCAGGACTAGCAATAGAAATAAAAATAAAGACACTGATTGATGAAGTTATTTTTCTTCAGAACATGGCCCCATGGCATCTGAGCCCATGTACTGCTAAGCCCAGGAGGTTTGTATTGGCTTAGAATCTGCCTCCCCACCCTCCCGGGTTTCCATGGTGATGATGCTTGGGCCCTGGGGCCTGGTGAATTCAGTGCCTTAAGCCCAAAACAGGAGTACTCCCCCTCCCCAAACCCCTCCATAGCCCTCCCAGGTCTCTCCTCCTTGCCCTCCTTTCTACCACCCCATCCCAGTGCCCAGTTTTCCATCTCTTGTCTTTTGTTTTTGTCTTTGTCATTCCCCGCCCTCCCTCCCCCCCCCCCCCCCCCCATGGGTTTCTGTTTGTTTCCAAACTGTCTGGGACTGTGTGCCATGGAGACAGTGTCCTGGGCTGCCTCTACCCTGATCTGGTTAGAATAAGCCCCCACTGCTTTGCATGCATCTCCAACCTGAAGCTGGGAGCATCCAGAGAGGGGGAAAAAAAGCCCACATTCCAAAACAAGATAGAAACCGCATCTCCACCCACTCTGCTGGCGCCCTTCTCCACCTGGAACGGGTTTTCTGAAAATGTCCAGTGTTTCACTGCAAGATCCATAGATGGAAGGATACATGGGGTTTGCTGAGGACTTTGTATCAATTACTGGAACTATGCAGTGTTAGAAAAAGCAAATAACCTTGCAGCGGGGTGCTGGTAACTCATACCTGTAATCCTAGCTACTCAGAGGCTGAGATCTGAGGATCGAGGTTTGAAGCCAGCCCAGGCAAGAATGACCTTGACACTCTTAATCTTCAATAAAGCATTCAGAAAAAGTTAGAGGTTGCACTGTGGCTCGAGTGGTAGAGCGCTAGCCTTGAGCAAAAGAAGCTCAGGCAGGCACTGAGTTCAAGCCTCAGGTTTGGCATAAAAGAAAAAATTGTGGGCTGGGAAGGTGGCTCAGTGGTAGAGTGCTTGCCTTACATGCCTGAGGCCCTGGGTTCGATTCCTCAGCACCACATAAGCAAAAAGAAAAAAGCCGGAAGTGGCGCTGTGGCTCAAGTGGTAGAGCTCTAGCCTTGAGCTGAAGAGCTGAGGGACAGTGCCCAGGCCCAGAGTTCAGGCCCCACAACTGGACCCAAAAAAAAGAAAAAATTGTGATGAAGTTGGCATTTCTTTTTTCTTTTCTTTCTTTTTTTTTTTTTTTTGTCAGTCGTGGGACTTGAACTCTGGGCCTGGGCACTGTCCCTGAGCTCTTCAGCTCAAGGCTAGCACACTACCACTTGAGCCACAGTACCCGGTTTTGAGTGGTTTATTGGAGATAAGAGTCTCATGAACTTTCTTGCTTGGGCTGGCTTTGAACTACAATCCTCAGATCTCAGCCTCCTGGTAGCTAGGATTACAGGTGTGAGCCACCGGTGCCTGGCTGAAGTTGGCATTTCTTGTGTTAGAATTGTCTGCAAACAAACCGGGCGCCGGTGGCTCACGCCTGTAATCCTAGCTACTCAGGATGCTGAGCTCTGATGATCATGGTTCAAAGCCAGCCTGGGCAGGAAAGTCTGTGAGACTCCTATCTCCAATAAACCACCAGAAAACTGGAAGTGGTGCTGTAGCTCAAGTGGTAGAGCGCTCACCTTGAGCTGAAGAGCACAGGGACAGCGCCCAAGCCCAGAGTTCAAGCCCCACAACCAACCAAAAAAAAAAAAAAAAAGAATTGTCTGCAAACTTCTTGAGGGCAGGGGCCTGGTTATCTTGAAGATCCATCTATCTAAGAGATGGTAGGTGCTCAAGAAAAGTTTGAGTCAGGCACCAGTGGCTCATGCCTGTAATCCCAGCTACTCAGGAGGCTGAGGATCACAGTTCAAAGCCAGCGCAGCCCCAAAGAAAAGTTCATAAGGCTTTTATCCCCAGTTAACCATCAAAAAGTCACAAGTGGAGCTGTGGCTCCAGTATTAGAGTGCCAGCCTTGAATGGAAAAGCTGAGGGACAGCTCCCAGACCCTTAGTTCAAGCCTGTTTTCCCATGGAAAAAAAAGTTTGTTGAGTGAATAAATGCAAGATGCAAGACATCCTCCCAGTTTAGTGGAGAGTAATGGTTGAATGTCACCAAAATAGGATTAAATTATACTTGAGAAGAAAATAAGAAGGCACTGGGATGGGTGGTGTGACTCAATTTCCAGTAGTCCACTTGCTCTGTCAGCAGAAAAATAAATTGGGGGAGGGGGTGGCGGTGCCGGCTGATGAGGTCCAATTATTGCCTTGATGCTTATTCATACACATATGTAAATGACTGATAACACAGCCTTTTCCGGGTGGAGGGTTGAGGGAGGTCGTAGGGCTTGAACTCTTGGGCTTGGGTGCTGTCCCTGATTCTCTTTGTGCTCAAGGCTAGTGCTCTAACCACTTTGAGCCATCACTCTGCTTCTGGTTTTCTAGTGGTTAATTAGCGACAAGAGTTGCACAGGATTTTCTTGCCTGGGCTGGCTTCAAACCTCATGCTTAGATCTCAGCCTCCTGAGTAGCTAGGATTACAGGTGTGAGTCACCAGCACCTGGCTATTTATTTACTTTTTGTTGGTTGTGGGGCTTGAACTCAGGGCCTGGGCACAGTCTCTGAGCTTTTTTTGCTCAAGGCTAGCATTGTATCACTTGAGCTACAGTGCCACTTCTGGCTTTTTCTGTTTGTGTGGTACTGAGGAATCGAACCCACGGCTTCCTGCATGCTAGACAAGCATTCGACCACTAAGCCACATTCCTAGCCCTGCTGATTGGTTTTTGAGACACCGGCTAGCTATGTAATCCAGGCTAGCCTCACTTCCTGCCTCAGTCCTGCATTCAGCTCTGGTGACCCTGTCCATCATTTCAGACTCAGGAGGCAAATTCAGAGATATACATAACACTGAATCAGAGGCAGTTGGAGTGAGGGGAAGGAGGTCCCACCTGTGGCCCCCCCCAACTCTCAGTTCAGAGCTCAGCCTGCCCTAATTAAGACTTCTTTGAGTCTGTGTGTCTAGAGATTGCCAGCAGCCAAGTCCTCCTGCTTGTCTGAGATGTTTGAGACATGAGAGAATAAACAACCTCCCCTGTCTGGCCAGCTGTATGGAGCTCCATTCATGTCTTGGCTCTCCTGGCCACTGGGGCTAACAGTCCTGTGTCCACCTCCAGCAGAGGCCTGGGGGGACCTGTTAAGAGGAGGGGAAGGGAGAAACGGTCACTTCATGTTTCCAGATTAGACAGGATATTCCTATTTTATATCAGTATCAGGTACCTCAGCCGAAAGCCCCTTTGGACCCAGCCTTGTGTTTGTAATGACAGCTGTCAGTTAAGAGGGAACTCCCCCCCCCCCCCCCCCATAAGCTACCATCCCTGAGATCCAAGGCCCTTCACCTCTGCTACATCTGTAGCAACTCATCCAAATAGCTTTTATTTTTGTCAGTCATGGGGCTTGAACTCAGAGCCTAGGTGCTGTCCTGGAGCTCTTTTGCTCAAGGCTAGCACTCTATCACTTTGAGCTACAGTGTCACTTCTGGTTTTCTGGTGGTTCATTGGAGATAAGAGTCTCAGACTTTCCTGCCTGGGCTGGCTTTGAACTGTGATCTTCAGATCTCAGCTTCCTGAGCAGCTAGGAGTAGAGTCATGAACCACCAGGGCCCAGTGTGCAAATAGCTGATTTTATACAAGTGGACACTGAAAATTGGGACAGAAGTAAAATTTGGATGATGTGCTGCTTTTTCATTCCTGCAGCCTGCTAACTCTGGACATTGTGGCTAGAGTGGCAGCACTGTGGTTTGGGACGCATGGTGTTTTCATCCTACGCCTGTTTTGGAGATCAGGCTGATGGTGAAGCCGTTTCCTGAGGAAGAAGGCCCCTTGGAAAAGCACTTTGCCAGGTGCTCCTAAATCATCGCACGGGAAACAGAGCCCATGTGAGGCTCTGCCATCAGCCAGAGTCAAGCCCAGCCTGAGCTTGCTAGACTACAGGAGACAGTGGCCTTCGGAAGACAGACAGTTCCCACCCCCCCCCCCAACACACACACACCATCTGCTTTTCTGAGACTGGGATTGTGGGGGAGGATGCAGCCAGTCTGCAGGGTTGGACCAATTCCTCTAGGAGCCCCCGAAATGCAGACAAGAGAGGCGGGAGCAGACAGCGTGGGATTCCTCCAGGGGGGTCTCGGGGGGGGGGGGCAGGTGTCCACCCCCACCCCCCAGTGTGTCTCAAGCCAATGGCCTCTGCCTTTGAGTGTAGCAGAGGCGGTTTATGCAGCTCAACTGGGTTTGTCTGTGTAGGTGGCTACATTGCTGTTTAGAGCTGGGTTCTTGGTAGAGAAGCATGTTCTGTGGGCTGAGACTAGTGTGACTCCATGTTGCTGTGTATGTAAACTGTGGATGGGGTCTCTCCTCCTCTTCCCCCTTCCCCTTCCCCTCCTCCCCTCTCCTCCTCCTCCTCCTCCTCCTCCTCCTCCTCCTCCTTCTTCTTCATCTTCTTCTTCTTCCTCTTCCTCCTCCTCCTCTTTCTCCTCCTCCCCTCCTCCTCCTCCTCCTCCCCTCCTCCTCCTCCTCCTCCTCCTCCTCTCCTCCTCCTCCTCCTCCTCCTCCTCCTCCTCCTCCTCCTCCGTCTTCTTCCTCTGTCAGCCTCCAGAGTAGCTGGGATTACAGCCATGAGCCACTAGCACCCAGCATGGCTCTGATTTTGTTTGGGTCGGTTGTGGGGCTTGAACTCAGAGCCTGGATATTGTCCTTGAGCTTTGTGCTCAAGGCTAGTGCTCTATCACTTTGAGCTACAGCTTCCCTTCCAGTTTTTGAGTGGTTCATTGGAGATAAGCCTCCCAGGGACTTTCCTGCCCAGGCTGGCTCTGGCTGTAATTTTGTGGAAGCTGCTTCCTCCACCTCTCTTCCCTACCCTCTGATGGGAACCCATGGAATCTTCCCAGTCTTCCGCATACATTAGCACTGTGAAACACAGATTCAACACCTGCCTCCTACCTGGCTCCTCCCCTAACCCCTACCCGGGCTGCAAGAGTCACTGGACTCAGCAGAATCGGGCTTAAGGCAGAGCTGGGTCAGGTCAGGCCTCAGCAGCCAGACATGCCTGCGCCTGCCTGCCCAACCCCAGTAGTGGGCAGAACAGCCAGGGCAGCTGTTCCCCATGATTGATAACTCTTGGGGGGGGGGGGAAGGGAAGGGATAACTCCTATGCTAATACAGGTGATTTTAGGATCTTCCAGGATTAGGGACACAGTATTCCTGTGCCCTCTAGAAGGGCAGAGTTCTAGTAGGGAACCCACACAAAAAAGAGTTTGGGAAGGGCAGAGGACAGTTCTTTTCGGCCAGTAGGGTGACCATCTTGGAAATCCCCTGGATTCTGTGAAAGCTGGCAGCTCTCTGGGGCTCTCCTGAAATATCCATGACCTGCAGAGAATGAGGGAGGGGTCCAGGGTGCAGCCGGGGTTGCTGAGCTGGGAGATGCTCTGGGAGTGAGCTCAGGGTAGGGCAGGCCCTGGAGCGGGCTGGGAAAGGGTCTGCTTGGGAGATCATGCTGGACTTCCCTTCCCCTCCCACACAGGCAACTGATGTGGGGTTCTTCTAGCTCCAGACATTTACCAGAGATGGGAAGAAGTTAGTTTGAAAAGACCTTCTGGGGAGAGGTGGAGATGCTTTAAAAAAAAACTTTTTTTCCCCGTCTCATTCTAGGGCTTGAGCTCAGGGCTTGGGCACTATTCCTGAGCTTCTTTTGCTCAAGGCTAGTGCTCTACCACTTGAGCCACAGTGCCACTTCTGGCTTTGTCTAAGTAGTTTATTGGAGATAAGAGTCTCACAAACCTTCTGCCTGGGTTGGCTTTGACCTGTGATCCTCAGATCTCAGACTCCTGAGTAGCTAGGATTACAGGCGTGAGCTACCAGCACTCAACAAAACTGAGATTGTGTGTGTGTGTGTGTGTGTGTGTGTGTGTGTGTGTGTGTGTGTGATTAATTGTCTCACAGACTTACCTGCCCTAGCTGGCTTCAAGGTTCCACCCTCAAATCTCAGCCTCCTGAGTAGCTGGGATTACAGGTGTGTGCCACCAGTGTGCCTGGCTTAAACTGGGGGAAATTTCCTATTGAAAAGAAGAAAACTTTTATTTTATTTTTTTTCTCATATGAGTGAGACATTGGCCAAAGTAATGTGTTTAAGGAAATTTCTGCTTCATGCTGACCAGGCCAGGGAATGTCTGGTCAAAGCGTTGCTGACGGCCAGGGTCTCTGTCAATAAACAGGCGACCTCTGATGGCCTCCCTGAACTCATTTCCCTCTGAAGTGTGAAAGAAGATGATGTCACTGTGAGTGAGACCTCCCAGTCATGGAGTTTGTCTGAGAGCAAGATGGAGGACTCATTGGTCAGGGGGCAGATGCCCACTTACTCTGAACAGCTGCCCCCCCCCCCCCCCAGCCCCCAGCCTCTCTGATCCCCTCCTTCACGTGGTCTATGATAACATATCTAGGGCTCCCCAGTGGAAGGTGTTCCTAGGGAATCCTGGGATGCATAGTCCTAATTCCACTCACCTGGAAGGCCTCTCCTCCCCCCCCCCTCCCCCCCCAGGGAGCTGGGCCTTTCTTTCCTATGGAGAAGGGCTCCGAGGAAAGAAATAGACTCTTGAGAGTGCAGGTTCAGGTCCTATCCCCCGAGCAGAGCAGACAGTGGCAACGTGCATGGCAGCCTGTGTCCTGGGGTCAGGCCACAGGTCCCATGGGGGAGTTTCCATGACCACAGAGCTCCAGTCAGGAGGTTGGGAAGGGACAGAGAGGAAGTCACAAAGCTTTCTCTGTCTCTCCTCCACAGCCTCTTCCTGAGCCCACAGGTGAGGCTTTTATGGGATTGACAGAGCCACTGCCAGGCATGAAGAAGGTTACATGGCCTCTCTCCCAGTTCCCGCTCCACTCCCACTTCATCTCCTGGTAGGCGAGGGTGTAGCCGTGAGACTCTGAAGTACAGAGATGGCCAGAAGTTTCTAGGAGGAAGGCCTGTGTCTTCTTTTTTTTGTTGTTGGTTAAGAGGCTTGAACTCAGAGCCTGAGCACTTTCCTTGAGCTCTTTTGCTCAAGGCTAGAGCTCTACCATTTTGAGCCACAGCTCTACTTCCGGTTTTCTGATGGTTCATTGGAGTTAATAGTAACAGAGTTTCCTGCCCGGGCTAGCTTTGAACCGTGAGCCTTACATCTCAGCCTCCCAAGTAGCTAAGATTATAGGTATAAGCCACCAATATCTGGCCTAGGTCTTCTTTGTGCTTCCCAGAGGACGTCATAGATTTTCAATCACAGACTTAGTCCACATAGCAACCAGCCCTCTCTGTGTTTGCCTGACCCGCTTGGTTCAGGATGACCTCAAACCTAAACCTCACGCTAACAGGCTTGCAGAAAGCTCATTGGGAATGTGGCTTAGTGGTAGAGTGCTTGCCCTGCACGTGTGAAGCTCTAGGGTCAATTCCTCAGTACCACATAAATAGATAAATCTGGAAGTGGTGCTGTGGCTCAAATGGTAGAGTGCTAGCCTTGAGCAAAAGAAGCTCAGAGACAGCACCCAGGCCCTGAGTTTAAGCCCCAGGACTGGAAAAGAAAAGAAAAGAAAACTCACCGATGGGGCTGGGTGTAGTGGCCCCAACACTAGGAAGTAAAGATTAGGAGGATTGTGTATTAAGGCCAACTCAGGCAAAATGGTAGTGAGACCCCCTCTCCCCTCCTTCTCAACCAACAAGCTGAGAGCAGTGGTACATGTCTGTGATTCCCAACTATGCAGAAAGTATATGTAGGAGGATCCTAGGGCAACCAGGGCAAAAACAACTAACAAACTGTCTAAACCACTCAAGCAAAAAGGGCTAGAAGGGCCACGCAAAGTGGGAAAGTACCTGTCTAGCAAGCACAAGGCCTTGAATTCAAACTGTAGAACCAACCAACAGAACAAAACAAAACAAAAAACCTCCCTTGCACTAATGAGCAACTGAGCGATAAGCCAATGGACTAATTAGGTCTACTTCCTCAGCCAATAGTCATTCACCATCTTGCTTGTTTGTGTCAAGCCTTGTGCTGAATATTATCAGGAACAAGATAGACAAGATTCTGGCTTTTGGAGCACTGACAAGAAGGAAACAATAATGACAGAGTATGATTTATGTATTTTATATTATGAAGGAAGTTGAAGGACTTCCGTGGGAGACAGCGCTCAGCAAATCTTACTCCCATGAAATGGCTAGGGAAGATTCTAGAAACTAAGAAATGGGATTGAGAATGAGAAAAAGGATAAGAAAATAAAAGAAGAAAGAGGAAAAAAAATAACCAATCCTTGGGGTTGGAGGTGTGGTTCCAGTCAATAAGCGAAACTATTAGCTACCAAGTTCAAGTCCTGGTCTTAGACAAAAATAGCAGCAAAAGGGGCTGGGAATGTGGCTTGGTAGTAGAGTGCTTGCCTAGCATACATGAAGTCCTTAGTACCACATAAACAAAAAAGCTAGAAGTGGCACTGTGGCTCAAGTGGTAGAGTGCTAGCCTTGAGCAAAAGACGCTCAGAGACAGCACCCAGGCCCTGAGTTCAAGTCCCAGGACTGGCAAAAACAAAAACAAAAAACAACAACAAAGAATGAGAAAGGACTATACAAAGAGTTCTTTTCTTTCTTTCTTTCTTTTTTTGGTCAGTCATTGGGCTTGAACTCTGGGCCTGGGTGCTGGTCCTGAGCTTTTCGGGTGAAGGTGAACACTCTACCACTTGAGCCACAGAGCCACTTCCAGTTTTCTGGTGGTTATTTGGAGATAAGAGTCTCACAGACTTTCCTTCTCTGGCCTGGCTTTGAACCTCTGAGCCTTCTGAGTAGCTAGGATTACAGGTGTGAGTCATTAGCGCCTAGCATGCAAAGAGTTCTTTTTCTTTTTTTGTCGGTTGTGGGGCTTGAACTCTGGGCCTAGGTGCTGTCCCGCAGCTCTTCAGCTCAAGGTTAGCACTCTACCACTTGTACCACAGCGCCACTTCCAGTTTTCAGGCGTTTTTTTGGAGCTAAGAGTTTCATGGCCCGGGCGCCAGTGGCTCATGCCTGTAATCCTAGCTAGTCAGGAGGCTGAGATCTGAGGATCGTGGTTCAAAACCAGCCCAGGCAGGAAACTCAGTGAGACTCTTATCTCCAATAAACCACCAGAAAACTGGAAGTGGAGCTGTGGTTCAAGCGGTAGAGCACTCACCTTGAGCTGAAGAGCTAAGGGACAGCGTCCTAGCCCAGAGTTCAAGCCCTACAACTGACAAAAATAAAAAAGGGTTTCTGGGACTTTCCTGCCCAGACTGGTTTTGAACTGCGATCCTCATATCTCAGCCCTCTGAGTAGCTAGGATTATAGGTGTGAGCCATCAGCACCTGGTACAGAGTTCTTGAAGAGAAGGGAAAGACAATTCTGAGAGCTTGTGGGGGAGAAGCGCTTGGCCTAATCTGGAATAAGCAGAAGAGCCTTGTGAATAGAGCCTGGGTGTTGGGGGAGGTAGAGAGATGAGCTGGGGCTGGGGGGGGGGGGGGTATGAAGTCAGAAGAGACCAATCAGGCCTTGAGCATCCCAGGGAGGACAAGTAGATGTTTGGGGAAGACACTAAGGGCTCTAAACAAATGTGGGACACAGTTAAGAAAAATAGGCTTAAAAAAAAAAAAAAAAAACAAAAAAACTGGGCACTGGTGGCTCAAGCCTGTAATCCTAGCTACTCAAGAGGCTGAGATCTGAGGATCGCAGTTCAAAGCCAACCTGGGCAGGAAAGTCCATGAGACTCTTATCTCTGATGAACCAACAGAAAACTGGAAGAAGTGCTGTGGCTCAAAGCGATGGATTGCCAGCCTTCAGCAGAAAAGCTCAGGGACAGCCTCCAGGTCCTGAGTTCAAGGCCCATGACTGACAAAAAGTAGCAATGAAAGAAAAACAGAATCCAAACCGCCTTGTCTTCCTGTGGGACCACGGAGCTTTCGCTGGCTGGGATGACATTTCTGCCACCTTTTCCTCCGTGGGTTGGGCTGTGGCTGCTCCAAGACCCAGAACACGGGTGGGTCACCTCCATTGGTTCCTCTCTCTGGACAGACGTGCCCTTTGGTGAGGGGGTGGAAGCATTTTTGAGGTGAAATGTTGTAGAACAGCCAGGATCGGAAAATATTAACAGTTCACTGGCGCCAACAAGGTTCGCCCTAGGGCCAGAAAGTACAGGGAAGAGGAGGGATGTCCCTTCGGCAGAGGACCCAGGGACAGGAGGAGGTCAGCCAGGAGCCACTCACACCCAGTATCCCAGGTTGCCTCTAATTTCAGGGCTAGAGCAAGGCTTCCCTGTGTCAGATGGAAATCCTGGGGTGCCCTTGTACTCTACGGAGGGCCATTGAAATGGGGCGATCTGTGTGTGTGTGTGCATGTGCATGTTGGTTCTGGGGCTTGAACTCAGAGCCTGAATGTTGTTCTTAAACTTTGTTTTTGTGGACCAGGCGATGGTGGCTCACACCTGTAATCCTAGGTACTAAGGAGGCTGAGATCTGAGGATCGTGGTTCAAAGCCAGGAAAGTCAGTGAGACTCTTATCTTCAATAAACCACCAGAAAACCAGAACTGGCACTGTGGCTCATGTGGTAGAGTGTTTGCCTTGGCCTGGAGTTCAGAGATAGCACCCAAGCCCCCAGAGTTCAAGCCCCATGACCCCAAAAAACAAAACAAACAAAAAACCCTTTGTTTTTGTTTTTTACTTTTGGTTTTTCCCTTTTCTGTTAGTCCTAGGGCCTGGATGTTGTCCCTGAGCTGCTTTTTTGGCTCAGGACTAGCCCTTTAACCACTTGAGTACAGCTCCAATTCGGCTTTTTTGGTAGTTTATTGGAGATGAGTCTCACGAACTTTCCTGCCAGGAAATGAGTTCCTTTTTTTTTTTTTCCCCCTCCTTTCAAGGCTAGTTCTCTACCATTCAAGTCACAGCTCTATTTCTGCCTCTCTCTCTTTTTTTTTTTTTTTGGTAGTTTTTGGAGATAAGAGTCTCTTGGACTTTCCTACTAGCCTGGCTTTGAACCACGATCCTTAAACCTCAGCCTTCTGAATAGCTAGGATTACAGGCATGAACCAGTGGTGCCGGCTTAGTGGGGACTACTTAAAGGATGGGCTGTCCAAACACTCTGGGCACTGGAATACCAAGAGGGATGAAATGTACCAAGTGCTTCCATCCTCCAGGGCCTTGCTGTAAAGGAGGAATAGATAAGAAAGCAATGTCAGTAGAATGGGATTGTCATCATGTTGGACAACACAAGGGTGGGGGAGAGGCCCATGGGACAGAGAGGAACAGTTAGGTTGGCCTGGGCTACCAGGAAGGGAACCAATTGGAAGTGATTGGTCCTTAGGCTGAGTCTTGCTACAAATAAGCATTTGTGAGTGGTTGCACAGACTTGAAGGCTGGCTTTTGAGGGTACTGGCTATGTGTGTGTAAAGAGATTCACTTACAGAGATACAAGCAACTAGGCTCATTGTCTCCAAAGGCCTATAGAAGACAATGGGGAACGGACCAGAATTGTTGGTGGCAGAGCTGTTCATTTAATGGAAACCCTTTAAAAAGAGAGAAAAGAGCTAAGTGCTCATGGCTCATGCCTGTAATCCTAGCTACCCAGGAGGCTGAGCTCTGAGGACTGTGAGTTCAAAAGCAGCCCAAGCAGAAAAGCCTGTCAGACTGTTATCTTCCATTAACCAGCAGAAAGCCCAAAGTGGAGATATGGCTTAAGTGGTAGCATGCTAGCCAAAGGAGAGCGAGAGGCCCCAGTTCTGCCCCAAGAAAAACTAAAACACGAGGGGGGGGGGGGAGGGAGAGAGGGAGGAAAGAAAGAAAGAAAGAAAGAAGGTAAGAAAGAAAGAAAGAAAGAAAGAAAACCAGAGCCCAAGCCACAGGAAAGCTGAAAACTCCTGAGATATAGAGAGCTTTGGAAAGGCTTGCCATGGGATTGTGGGTATAAAGGTAGACTATTTTGATTTCAAGAGGCAAGAAGGCTTCCAGTAGGTATTATGTAATCTATGCCATCGGCTTAGCTCCCCCTCATTTATTACAGAGAAAATAAGGCCAAAGAGGGGATGTGAAATGCTTAAGGTCACACTGCCTTTCAAGATCAGCCTATAGCTCAAATACAGCCACAGCAATGCACACAAGCAAGCTCCGCTCCTCTGGAGTGCCACCATGTGTACTAAGGGGGCCCAGAACCCCCATTAGACTGGAACCATTGGGCCCTGCCTGCCTGCTGTCTTCTCTTTCCAGCCCCAGCCTTCCACAGGAGGAGAAAATTCTGGAACTTGTGGGTCTTTCCTAAGAATTCCCTGAAAGTTTCCACTAAGAGAGCAAGATGGACTGACTCTAAGCTGCCCAGACATTGAAGTGGGGCTGAACCTAGATCCTCAAGGGAGGAGGTCTCATACCCCAAGTTTTCTGGTGTTGAAGTTGGAGATAGAGAACAAGAGTCCATTTTGAAGTAGGGTGCCCGTGGCTCACGCCTGCAAGCCTCGTTATTCAGGAGGCTAAGATTTGAGGATCATGATTTGCGGCCAGCCTGAGCAGGAAAATCCATGAGACTCTTCTCTCCAATGAACAACTAAAAAGCTAAAAGTAGAGGTGTGGCTCAAGTGGTAGAACACTAGCCTTGAGCATAAAAGCTCAGGGACAGTGCCCAGACCCTGACTTCAAGTCCCAGAAGCAGGAGGGGAAAAAAGTCTCTCTGTAGCCCTGAACTCTGCTTCAGCCTCCACGAACAGGTGTGGGAAAGCTATTTTTCTCCAGTGTGGAGGGTGCAGGGCGTGGCTCATGGCTTCCGTTCATCTTGGTGAACTTGACAAAACACACAGAGATAAAGAAGAACATAGTTTTCACCTTTCAGGTGAGGCAAGGGAATGCTTGGGTCGGGAAAGGTCTGAGAGAAGATGGAGATGAGGGTGGAAGTATTTAGGGCATGTGTGTTTGAGGTGTGAGATGAGCCCTCAACTTGTGCTAGTAGCCCCTGGTAGTCATCGTATTGTCTTTTAGCCTTAGCTGTCTACCTGACCTCCCCTCCCACATCGCCCTTTCCCTAGGAAGCTAGGGAAGTGGTACCTTGTGATATTTGGCTAGAATAGTTAACAACTGGGCTCAGGCTGACTTAAATTCAAGATGAGAGAAATACTAGGAACCTAAAAGGACTTAAAAGACCTGCCCCAAGCTCTCCCAGCCTAGACTCTTTTATATCTTTTTAACAAACTCCACTTTTCATAATTCTTTTCTTTCCTTTTATTTAGTGTGTGTGTGTGTGTGTGTGTGTGTGTGTGTGTGTGTGTGTGTGTGTGTGTGTCCATACTGGGGTTAGAACTCAGCCTGGGAGCTGTCCCTGAGCTTTTTTTGCTCAAGGTTAGAGCTCTATCACTTGAGCCACAGCTTCACTTCTGGCTTTGTAGTGGTTAATTGGAGGGAAAAGTCTCACAAACTTTCTTGCCTGAGCTGGCTTTGAACTGTGATCCTCAGATTTCATCCTCCTAAGTAGCTAGAATTATAGGCATAAGCCACTCACACCTGGCAAGTAGGCATTCTTCTTCCCAGAAATGTTTGAGGAGCTCTCTTATCTTTCTGACCATCTTGGTTTCTATTTGATTTTTTTTTTTTGAGGGGGGTCAGGTTGTGGGGCCTGAATTCTGGGCCTGGGCGCTCTCCCTCAGCTCTTCAGCTCAAGGCTAGCACTCTACCACTTGAGCCACAGCGCCACTTCTGGCTTTTTTCTTTTTGCTTATGTGGTGCCGCGGAATTGAACCCAGGACCTCAGGCAGGCGAGGCAAGCGCTCTACCACTGAGCCACCTTCCCAGCCCTTTCTGGCCATCTTGGAAGCAAGATTCTGGTCTCCCAACTACAGAGAACTGCCAATTCTGCACCTTCTGTGTCAGAGGCCATGGTATAGAGTGGAAAAGGCAGAAGCCTGGCACTGAGGAGAGCTGGCTTGGGTACCAGCCATCCTTGAGTCCCCCAGCATTGCTAGGAGCCAAGTCTTGGTAGAAGGAAGTCTGGTAAGGAAGGAAGTGCTTTCTCCACTAGTTGGCTTTGGCCAGAAAGGAAAATTAAGAGCAATTTTGATAGTAGTAGCAGCAGAATCAATGTCATTGATGGATTTATCTCTGTGATATAGAGGATTCAGCACCCATTTGGCCTATAATCTCAGCACTCTGGAGACTGAGGCGGGAGGATCAGGAGTTTGAGATCAAGTCTGGACTCTCTAGCAAGATCTGTCCACAAAAACAAACAAACTGGGTTAGGAATGTGGCTTAGAGGTAGAGTGCTTACCTAGCATGCATGAAGCCCTAGGTTCGATTCCTCAGTACCATATAAACAGAAAAAGCCAGAAGTGATAGTAGAGTGCTAGCTGTGAGCAAAAGAAGCTCAAGGAAATTACCCAGGCCCTGAGTTCAAGCCCCAGGACTGGCACAAACTAACTAAAAAACAAAAAAGTAAAAATGAAAACCTCAACTGGATGCTGGTGACTCATTCCTGTAATTCTAGTTAATCAGCAGGCTGAGATCTTAGGATTGCAGTTCAAAGCCACCCCAGCTAGAAAAGTCTGTCAGACTCTTATCTCCAGTTAACTACCAGAAAGCTAGAAATGGAGATGTGTGTGCCCTGGGGAGACAAGAGGGACTATAATTAAAAGCCCAAGGTATTTCAATGGACAGCCTGTGTGTTATTTAGGAGGTACAGTTCTGTTTGGGGATCCTGTGAGAGATACATTTGTCTTATTACTGACCTTTGTGTACAGAGAAAGCTATAGAGTACTGAGGACAATTCCACTAAGAATCAAAGTGTTTAAAAATAATTAATAATGATAATAATGATGATAATAATAATGAAAGATTTGGCAATGGGGAAAGGAAAGCCTTTTCAATAGTACTAGAACAATTGGATAATCCCTTGCTCGCCCCTCCAACAAAATGCAACTATCTTCAAACCTCACATCATGTGCAAAAGCTAGTTTATTACCAATTATAGGCCTAACATCAAAACCTAAAGCTAAATAACTCCTAGAAAAAAAATAACAGGAGAAAATATTTGCAACTGGGCTCAGCAAAGATTTCCTAGGTCTTACACCAATTTAAAAAAATGTAATGCGGGGCTGGGAAGGCGGCTCAGTGGTAGAGCGTTTGCCTTGCATGCTCGAGGCCCTGGGTTCGATTCCTCAGCACCACATAAGCAAAAAGAAAAAAGCCGGAAGTGGCACTGTGGCTCAAGTGGTAGAGCGCTAGCCTTGAGCTGAAGAGCTGAGGGACAGCGCCCAGCCCAGAGTTCAGACCCCACGACTGGACCCCCCCCCCCCAAAAAAAAATGTAATGCGGGTGAATGATGATGGATGTGGCTGAAATAGATGGTCAGCATGTATGAAAATACAACAATGAAACCCGTTGAATTTATTTATTTATTTGTTCATTCATTCATTTTTTTTTTGCCAGTCCTAGCACTAGAACTCAGAGCCTGAGCTTCTTTTGCTCAAGGCTAGCACCTACCACTTGAGCCACAGTGCCACTTCCAGCTTTTTCTATTTATGTACTGAGGAATCGAACCCAGGGCTTCATGCTTGCTAGGCAAGCACTCCTAAGCCACATTTTCAGCCCTACTGAACTTATTTTAAGGAATGAGAAGGAGGGAAAGGAGAGCGATAGAGTGGGGGAGATTGGAATGCATTGTAAATATGAGTGGAAATGTCACAATGAATCTCCCCACCCCCATGTATAGCTAATGTAGGCTAATAAAAAATAGTAGATTGACCGACACTGGTGACTCACGTCTGTAATCCTAACTGCTTAGGAAGCTGACATCTGAGGATTATAGTGGAAGCCATCCAAAGCAGTAAAGTTATGAGACTCTTATCTCCAATAAACTACCAGAAAAAGCCAGAAGTGGCTCAAATGGTAGAGCATTAGCCTGGAGCAAAAAAAAAAAAAAAAAAAAAGCTCAAGACAGCACCTAGGCCCTGAATTTAAGCCCCAGGACCAGCAATGGACCAGCATTCTTGTGCATGCATGCATGCGCACACCCACACCCAGATAGTAGATTAGAAAAGATAAAGCCAGAGACTGAAAAAAAATTTCCAAACACATATTTTATGAAGGATGTGTATCCTGGGTATATATACTTAAAACTCAATAATAAGAAAATAAAAGCCAGGCCTGGGAATGTGGCTCAGTGGTAGAGTGCTTGCCTAGCACACATGAAGCCCTGGGTTCGATTCCTCAGTACCACATAAACAGAAAAAGCCGGAAGTGTCACTGTGGCTCACGTAGGAGAGTGCTAGCTTTGAGCACAAAGAGGCTCAGGGACAGCACCCAGGCCCTGAGTTCAAGCCCCACAGCACACACACACACACACACACACACACACACACACACACACACACACACACACACACACACACACACACACGAGGTTCAAAGCCAGCCTGGGAAGGAAAGTCTGTGAGACTCGACTCTCCTCTGCAATTAACCACCAGAAAACTGCTAGCCTTAAGGAAAAGAGCTCAGAAACAGTGTCCAGGCCCTGAGTTCAAGCCCCATGACCACAAAAAGAAACAACAAAAAAACCCAATCACATGACTAGAGAATATACAATGAGCAAAATTACTGACCCAAATCTCTACTCCTCAATTTCTGAGCAAAGCTGCCTCTTGTTGCTGGGCTGCCAGAATCGTAGAGAGCTTTTGAAGATACAGGCCCCTCAGAGCTATTGGGGAGGGGGGCCCGCTCAGAGGGGTCACACATAGAGCCAGGAAGTGTGCCTGGTAGGTACACTTGTGAATGGTTACAGGTGGCACTTTGTGTGATGTTAATGAGATGTTAGTGAGAATGTAGGGGGACATGGTGACACCCACATACCTACAGGGGATGAAGTCACCTGCTCCTGTGGTTAACACTGCAACGCCATTGGCTGTGAGTCTAGCTGGACATCATGGTGACGGAGGGAGAATTTCAGCCATCAGTGAGCATGCTCAGACCTCTGCTATGTGACTGTTTATATGTGGACACACCACAGGACACTGAGGTCATTGTTTAATTGGTTTTTGGAGGTGTGTGTGTGTGTGTGTGTGTGTGTGTGTGTGTGTGTGTGTGTGTGTATGTGTCACGCATGCGCCAGTACTGCGACTGGAACTGGTCTTATGCTCTTGCTTGGCTTTTTTCACTCAAGGCTGGTACTCTACCATTTGAGCCACACCTCTACTGCTGGCTTTTTTGCTGGTTCATTGAAAATAAGTGTCTCATGGACTTTCTTGCTCCGGCTGGGCTTCCAAACTTGATTCTTAGATTTCAGCCTCCTGAGTGGCTAGGATTGCAGCTAGCATCCCTGGTGCCTGGTGGGGACTCCTGTCTTAAGCTCAGGGGATATTCTGTGGGGGCCACTGTAAGCATGTTATGCAGGGGGTGGAGAGCTCTATTTGACCTTGTTTGGGGGTTCCTGCTAGTCCCAGAGTCTATTCTCCAGGAACCCAGTCCTGCTACTCCTCTACTGAGGGGTAAAAAGGGAGCTCACCAGCAGCAGCAGGATGTACTATAGTAACTCATGGAGAATGTACTATAGTAACTCATGGAGAATGCAAGTCTCTGTACCAGCGTTTGAACATGCTTGGCTAAGCTTGCTTGCTTAGCTGATGCTCTACCACCCACATGACTGCTAGGGAGGAAAAGTAAGATGGTGTCACATCTGGCTATTGAATGGGGGCAGAACTCTTTTTTATTTATTTATTTTTTATTGGTCATGGGGCTTGAACTCAGTGCCTGGGCGCTGTCCCTCAGTTCTTCAGCTCAAGGAGAGCGCTCTACCACTTGAGCCACAGCATCACTTCCGGTTTTCTGAGTGGTTCATTGGAGATTAGCGTCTCCTAGCCTTTCCTGCCCTGGCTGGCTTTGAACCTCGATCCTCAGATCTCAGCCTCCTGAGTAGCTAGGATTACAGGCTTGAGCCACTGGCGCCCAGCTTTTTTTTTTTGAGAGGAAGGAACTTGAACTCAGGGTATGGGTGCTATCTCTGAGCTGTTTTTAAAATTGATTTTATTTTTTAATCTCCTAAAGGTTCTATCACTTGAGCCACAGCTCTATTTCTGGTTTTGGGGGGCGTTCATTGAAGATGTCTCATAGAATTTCCTGGCTGGGCTGGCTTTGAACTGTGATTCTCAGATCTAGCCTCCTGCGTAGTTAGGATTACAAGCATGAGGCACTGGGACCCAGATTTTTTTTTTTCTAGTACTGAGTATTGAACTCAGGACTTTAAGCCTACTAAGCAAGTACTCTACCATTTGAGTCACGCCTCCAGCTGTTTTGTTGTTGTTGTTGTTGTTGTTTTGCCTTGGTTATTTTTATCTAGGTCTTGCTTTATATCCTGCCCACCTGGACTGTGACCCTGAATTGCTGGGGATAACAGGTGTGTACTGCCATACCCAGCCATTAGTTGAGATGAAGCTTCTCAAAATTTAATGCTTGGACTGGCCTTGGACCATGATTCCCTAATCTCTGTCTCCCAAGTAGCTAGAATTACATACTTAAACCACTGCACTTGGCTTCCATGGTCTTTCCAGCCTCCATGGTCTTTCCTTGTCTAATTCCATGGAACTATGGTTCCTTCTTTTCTCTTCTGTGTGCTGTGTTTGTTTTCAGTATATTAGCAAACTTTGCAATTCCAGAGTAGAAGGATCTATGAGCTCACTCAGCCCAAACTCCTATTGTACATCTGGGGACACTGAGTCCAGGATTACTTGGGTGGTTGCTAGTCCAAATTGCACATCAGAATCAGTTACCTGCTGGGCACTGGTGGCTCACACCTATAATCTTACCTACTGAGGAAGCTGAGAGCTGAAGATCAAGGTTCAAAGCCAGCCTGGCAGAAAAATCTGTGAGACTCTTTTGTATTTTTATATTTTGTTGGTCCTGGAGCTTTAGCTCAGGCTGGGTGCTGTCCCTGAGCTGCTTTTGCTCAACGCTAGCGCTCTACCAGTTGAGCCACAGTGCCACTTCCGGCTTTTTTCTTTTTGCTTCTGTGGTGCTGAGGAATCGAACCCATGGCCTCATGCATGCAAGGCAAGTGCTCTACCACTGAGCCACCTTCCCAGCCCCCCAACCTGAAATTCTTTTTTTTTTTGGGGGGGGGGGTCCAGTCGTGGGGCCTGAACTCTGGGCCTGGGCGCTGTCCCTCAGCTCTTCAGCTCAAGGCTAGTGCTCTACCACTTGAGCCACAGTGCCACTTCCGGCTTTTTTCTTTTTGCTTATGTGGTGCTGAGGAATCGAACCCAGGGCCTCTGGCATGCAAGGCAAGCGCTCTACCACTGAGCCACCTTCCCAGCCCCCAACCTGAAATTCTTATCTCCACTAAAAAAAAAAAAAAAATTACAAAAAAGAATATAGCCAGAAGTAGCTCAAGAGGGCTAGCCTTGAACAAAAGATGCTCAGACACAGAGTCTAGGTCCTGAGTTCAAGCCCTAGGATCAGTGAAAGGAAGGAAGAAGGAAGGAAGGAACAAAGAAAAGAAGGAAGGAAGGAAGGAAAGAGGAAGGAAGGAGAGAGAAAGAGGAAGTGGTACTGTGGCAAGTGGTAGAGCACTAGCCTTGAGCTGAAGAGCTGAAGGACCAGAGTGCCCAGGCCCAGAGTTCAAGCCCCATGACTGACAAAAATAAAAGAAAGAAAGAAAGAAAGAAAGAAAGAAAGAAAGAAAGAAAGAAAGAAAGAAAGAAAGAAAGAAAGGAAGAAAGAAAGAAAGAAAGAAAGAAAAAAAGAAAGAAAGAAAGAAAGAAAGAAAGAAAGAAAGAAAGAAAGGAAGAAAGAAAGAAAAAAGGAAAGAAAGAAAGAAAGAGAAAAATGAAGAATCAGTAATGTAACAGAGCTAGAACTAGAAGGCTGATTTCCAAGTTTCTGTTTTTCTCCTGTCCTTTTGTTCTGGCTCTTGTGGTTCAGCCTGTCTGTCTGTCTGTCTGTCTGCTGTCTGTCTCTCTGTCTGTCTGTCTGTGTCATCCTCAAACCAGCAGAGCTCCCGTAAGCCTCAGTCAACTCAGACATCTGTGTCAAAGCCACAGCTTTGCACTGGTGACTTCACTCTGACAAGTTGGACGAGGCTGGAGCCAATTCCAGGCCTGGTGGCCAAGGGCTGGTGGCTTGGAAAGGAGGCCACGCTTTAGGAAAGAAAGCAAAGCAGATCTGTGCCCTGGGTCTGCTCGGAGCCAGGTGCTACTCATCATCCTTTCTCCAGCTACTTCTGTCCAGGGCGACCAATGCTCAGAGAAGACAGAGTTCCTAATCCCCTGTTTGTACATATACTGGATGCATAGACCCAGAAGGCCCTGGTACAAGCACATGTGCATGAGGATCTCTAGCCCTGTTGTGTGATGGGATTGTTGCCATGGGATGATGTTTCCTCTGAGTTCAGGTATATCTCTCTTCTGATGGTTTTCCAGTGCCCAGCCTTAACCCTGCTTGCCCTGAAAAGGAGCTCAGTGAGGGTATGTGGAAAGAGTGGTCCTCTGGGCCATAGGCCCAGGCCTCTACCTCTAGGAGCAGATACAAGGCAGGAAGCTTAGGCCTTGTTGGTTGAACCTGTGGACCAAGATGTTCCCACTCTGGTCCCTAGTGCATTCCCTTTTCATCCTTTGCTTCCAACTGGGGCCTCTATTCTACAATCAATAATCACCAATTAACCAGTAAAAAACAAAACAAAACAAAACAACCCCCCCAACCCAAGCGGAGGTGTGGCTGAATTGGTAGAGTGCTAGCCTTGAGCACAAAAGCTCAGTGACAGCACCCAAGCCCTGAGTTCAAGTCCCAGGACTGGCAACAAAACAAAAATAAGACCATCCCCCCAAATAACTAAAACAAAAAATGGCTGGAAGTGATGGAAGACTTGTGTAGCAAGCACAAATCCTTAACTTCAAATCCAAGTACTGTGTGGAAGGGAAAGGAAGGGAGGTGGGGGGAGAAGGGAGGGAAGGGAAGTGGAGGGGAGGGGAGGGAAGAAAAATCTCAAGCTTCATTGCATCAGAAACTCGGAGTGGAATCCAAAAGTCTGTATTTTAACAGCTCTCTAGTGATTCTAATGCATGCTAAGATTAGAGATCTGCGACCCAGGACACAGGTAGCCTCATGCTTGGGTCAAGAGAGAGACCTGGCAGCCTGGCAGCACAGGGCACTGCTCAGGCTCCCTGTGGGGAAAGGCTGAAGTCAGACACATACTGACTCCTGGGCACATAGATGAGCATATGGCAGAGTCTTGGAAATCCATATCCTGAGGTTCTGTGGTCCCTCTGGATATAGGAAGGCACCTGGATGGAAGTGGGTAGGGTGCAAGGTAGATCTAATCCATCTTTTTTGTCCTTTATTCCTTCTGAGGTTCCCTGATCGCTAGCTCAGAGGCCAGAGAGGCTGAATACACACCATCCATGAGGTCAAAGTAGCCTGAAAGAGTTGGAGTACACACACACACACACACACACACACACACACACACACACACGCAGCCCTTTATCCACAAGGGAGAATAGGGGCCAGGGGAATGGGGGGCAGTCAGCAAGCAAAGCTTAGGCAAGGACATACTATGCCTGAGCCATGAAATGCTGCCCAGATGTAGAATTCCCTTGGCCTTTTCCCAGAGGGCCATGCCCACCTTCTGATCCCTGTTTCCCTGGCTTGGTGTGTGGAGCCCCAGGCAGCCGCCCACCTGGGGCCACCTCCAGGCTCTGCAGAATCTCCATCCCCACACCCCCAGGGTCTGGATGGGAAATATGGCCTGTAAGGGCTGCAGGGGACACCACGGGAAGGGGAGGGAAGCTCACACTCAGCTCTGATTTCTGCGCTGTTTCCTGTGGCTAACTGCCACGGGCTGAGCCACCAGCTGTGCTATATAAGGCCCGCTGCCCGGGCGGCAGGACAGGAGAAAGCTTGGACCCCCTCCGCTGCCAAGTCGTGCTCAGGACCTGGTGAGCCCCACTTCTAGTCCCTCTCCTCATCCTTCCTCTTCACTGCCTGGCTCAGCTGCTCCTGACACCCCGTTTCTTTGACCTTCCCCCTTTCCCTACTCCTTATTTCCACTTTGTGCTTTGGAGTGTTCTTTCTCTCCATTCGCCTGAAGTTCTCTTTCTACCCCACTAGAGATCAAGACATTTCCCCCCCCAACCCTCGCAAACCCCAAATGGCCCTCACTTTGGATCTTCATACCTCAGGGGGTCCTGCATTTCCCATGTGAGTGAGCCAGTCCGTGTGCGTGTACATTGTTCAAGAGTCCCCCTTAAGGAGTTTGCGTTGGGGAACGAAGTGCAGGAATAACGGGATGTGGAGAAAGCTCTCCATGTGCTGCCAGATGGGAAATGGTTTTTCCAGAAACTTTTTAGGGTTCACTCTGACCTCTCAGCCCTGCAGAAGCATGAGGCTGAGGGCTATCCAGGCTGAGGATCCCCAGTTTGCTCCCTGCTCAGAGATCGGACTTGGAGGGGAGACCCCTGTGCTAGCGGAGGGTGCTACTTCCTTGGCTGAGAAACGGGCGTGTGGGGAGGGGGTGGATGGGGGAGATTGTAGTGGCTTTAGGGCCAAGGAATATGCAATGTGGGGTTGCTTTGATCTTCCTTTGTCCCAAGTGCTTTTGGATCTTTTTCCAGAAAGGAGAATTCTTCCTCTTTTCTACCACACCCTGGACTTTGGGGATTGAAGGGAATTTTTAAAATTTTTTATTTTTTGTGCCAGCACTGGGGCTTGAACTCAGACACTAGAAGCTATCCCTGAGCTTTGTTTTGGGTTTTTTCTTCTTTTTTTTTTTGCACAAGGCTAGTGCTCTACCACTTGAGCTCCACTTCTGGCTTTTTCATGGTTACACGGAGATAAAAGTCTCTGGGATTTGTTTGCCTGGCCTGACTTTGAACCATGATCCTCAGATCTCAGTCTCCTAAATAGCTAGGATTATAGGTGTGAGTCACCAGCACCCGGCAAAGGTGCTGAATCTTGAATCTCCAAGAATGGGTTCAATTCTGGGGTGGCCAGAGCTTTCAGGGAGGGGGGAAGAATTAAAAGTGTGCAGCAAGGGCTGGGAAGGTGGCTCAGTGGTAGAGCGCTTGCCTTGCATGCATAAGGCCCTGGGTTCGATTCCTCAGCACCACATAAGCAAAAAGAAAAAAGCCGGAAGTGGCGCTGTGGCTCAAGCGCTAGCCTTGAGCTGAAGAGCTGAGGGACAGCGCTCAGGCCCAACGTTCAGGCCCCACGACCGGACCCAAAAAAAAAAGAAATGTGCAGCAAAGTGTGTGCCTGGGCCACCCTATTACCCGGCCTGGTATTCTCCCTGCATCCCTGCACCCCGAATATCATGCTTAGTTATTGGGGGGCTCAGGCGTCTCACAGTGCACCCTGTCTGCTTTCCCTCCACTGGCTCCTGGCCATGGAAGACTCAGCCAGGCCCCAAACAAACCAGAATGTGTTCCAGCTGCGGCCCGTGCACATCTGGGAATGTGTTCTTGGAGTGAGTGTGGCTATATTTGCACTTCCCAAGCCTGTCTGTCCTAGGAAGGGCCACTGTGGGGGGTGAGAAGGTGACAGGGCTGCATAGCTTTCATATACATCCCCCTTCCGTGTAAAATGGTGAGTTCCAAGCTGGGTGTTCACGCCTGTAATCCTACCTACTCAGGAGGTTGAGATCTGAGGATAGCAGTTCAAAGCTAGCCTGGGCAGGAAAGTCTGTGAGACTCTTGATCTCCAATTAACCACCAGAAAATTGGCAGTGGGGCTGTGGCTCAAAGTGGTAGAGTGCTAGCCTTGAGCCAAAGAGCTCAGGGACAGTGCCTAGGCCCAGAATTCAAGCCCTACCACTGACAAAACAATAAAGATGGGGAAACACAAAGCAAAAGCTCCCCAAGTGGAATCTTAAAAGTCATTAAGCCATTTAGAGGCTGTGAGGAGGGAACCCTGTTCTCTTTCATTGGTAAAGAACCTCCTCTTTACCCCTCTCCTCTCCCCTCGTCTCTTCCCCTCCCTGCCCCTCCTTTCCCTTCCCCTTTCCTCCCTTCTTCTTTCTTCCCTTTCCCTCTTCTCCCCTCTTCTTTCCTTTTTCTCCTCTTTTCCCCTCTACTCCTTCCTCCCCTTCCTTCTGTTCTCCTCTTTTCTCTTCTTTGCCTTCTTCCTCTTCCCTCCCTTCCTCTTTTCCTCTCTCCCTTCCCCTCCTTCCCCCTCCCCTCCCCTCTCCCTTATGCCCCTGTTCCATATTGGAGCTTGTTGGGCCCAGGGATGGAACCTGGATCGAACATGTTTGAACTCAGACTCTGAGCCTATATCTTGCAACTCAAGCAAATGTCGCTTTCACAAGACTCGAGTGTGGCCCGCCCATCCTTGACAGGCGAAGAGATATTTCTGCTTGAGCCATGAGCTGTAACTCTGAAATGGGGGATCTGACAAGCTTTGCTTCTTTGCAGGTCACTGGATCTGAGAAACTTCCCAGGGAATGTTCTAGAGACAGCTGCCTCTGTGAAGCACTCTTGCCCATCTCCTGCCACGTCTCCACAGGACCTGAGAGGAAGATGGGGGGAACCAAAGCCTGGATGTTATCCTTCCTGGTCCTGGAAGTCACCTCGGTGTTGGGTACAGGCTAAATATTTGTTGTCTCTCCTCCCTTCCACTTATTACAGTGAAGTCATGTCTGGCTGGGCACTGGTGGCTCAAGCCTGTAATCTTAGCTACTCAGGAGGCTGAACTCTGAGGATCAGAGTTCAAAGACAGCCTGAGTATGAAAGTTCATGAGACTCTTTTGTCAGTTGTTGGGCTTGTGCTGGGAGCCTGGGTGCTGTCCCTAGCTAGTATTCTATCACTTGAAGCCACAGTTCCACTTCCCGTTTTCTGGTAGTTCAGTAGAGATGAGTCTCACAGGAACTTTTCAGCCTGGGTTGGCTTTCAACCATGATCCTTAGACTTCAGCTTCCTGAGTAGTGAGGATTACAGGTGTGTGTCACCAGCGCTGGGCTATGGAACACTTATTTCCAATTAACTACTAAAAAAGTTGAAAGTAGACCTGTGGCTCAAGTGGTAGAGTGCCAGCCTTGAGCAAAATAAAAAAGCTAAGGGACAGTCCAAAGGCCCTGAGTTCAAGTCCCAGGATGGGCACCGAAAAAAGAAAAAAGTCTGGTCTGCTCTGGGACCCAGTTTACCTCTCTTTTCAGATATAGCAATGGCCTTCTGACTAGAGGCTGTGGGATTGATTTTTTGTTTGTTGGTGTGGGGCTTGAACTCAGGACCTGGGTGCTGTCCCTGAGTTCTTTTTTTTTTTTTTTTTGTTATTGTTGTTGGTCATGGGGCTTGAATTCTGGGCTTAGGTGCTGTCCCTGCGCTCTTCAGCTCAGGGTGAGCGCTCTACCACTTGAGCCACAGCGCCACTTCCGGTTTTCTAGTGGTTTATTGGAGATAAGTCTCACGGACTTTCCTGCCCGGGCTGGCTTTGAACCGTGATCCTCAGATCTCAGCCCTCTGAGTAGCTAGGATTACAGGTGTGAGCCACCGGCGCCCGGCTGTCCCTGAGTTCTTTTGCTCAAGGCTAGTACTACTGTGAGCCACAGCTCCATGTCCAGTTTTCTGATGATTAATTAGAGATTAGAGTCTTACAGGGACTTTCCTTTTTGAGCTAACATTGAACCTCGATCCTCAGATCTCAGCCTGCTGAGTAGCTAGGGTGACAGGTGTGAGCCACTGGCATCAAACTATGGGATAGATTTATACAATGTTTGTACCCTAAATCTGAATTCCCAATATTCAAATTCACAGAACAGAATGTTTTAAATAAAGAGAGGAATGAACAATCATTGGGGGGGGGGGCGGGAAGGGGGGTGAGGTGGAACCATAGGAAGATTATCACCCAGGAGAAATAAATTTAACTCTAAGCTTCCAGGCAGCCAAAGCAAAAGAGAATTATAGGGGACCACTGAGTTCTTGGAAGCAGGTTTGGGGCTTGGTCTGTTTTTAGTTTAATAAAAATTCTTCTGGCCTAAAGCTCAGTCTCATTATAGACCTTACAGTCAAATTTCCCAGACAGATCGGAATACCTTCGGGGTCCTTGCCCTCACCCCGCTCTGGTAATAATGCTGAAGTCTAGAAAGAACAAATAGAATCTGCCAGGTGGAAAGATGACTTTCCCACCTCACCTCCCTCTCCTGATTTCCAAGCACACACTTAGATAATGCAAAACATGCTCACAAGCCTTTCTTAAAGCTGTTTGCCTTATAGGCTTGGGGCGGGGGGGCGGGCTCAGCTGCAGAGACAAAGGCTTCTGAGCTCTGTATGTGCCTGCCACTGTCTCATTTTCTCCCCTGCCAGCTGCTGTGGATGATGATGATTACCATTCAGCGATCTGAAGGGAAATCGGATTAGGTTGATTAAAAGAGCTCCTATCACCCTAATTAAGCAGCACCGAGAATTCTGGTTTGGCTTCTTGCCTGGGAGTTTATTGTCCACTAAGCTCTCTGCAGCTTTCCTCCCATGAAGTAGGGCTGTAGTTTCCCTGGGCCTTGGGACCCTGTGCTAAGACTCTGAGCCCTTCTCAGAAGGGTAGGTCTCAATGCTCAATGCCAGACAACTGCCAAGGGAAGAGAAGTGAACACTTGTTGTACCTAATATTGAGGTGAAGGGGGTGCTAATGCATTCAGCATGGGCTCTTTGCTAGGCTTTTTTTTTTCTGAGCTCCTTTTTGCTCAAGGCTAGTGTTCTATCACTTGAGCCACAGCACCACTTCTGTGATTAATTGGCGATAAGAGTCTCATAGAGTTTCCTGCTGGGGCTGGCTTAGAACCATGATCCTTAGATCTTCACCTCCTGAATAGCTAGGATTACAGGCATGCACCACAAGCTCCCAGCTGCTAGATATTGTTGTTGTTGTTCTTTAGGGTCTGGGCACTGTCTCTGAGCTTCTTTTGCTCATTGCTAGCACTCTACCACTTGAGCCACGCTGCCACTTTTGGCTTTTTCTGTTTATGTGGTACTGAGGAACCCAAGGCTTCAATGCATGCTAGGCAAGCACTCTACCGCTAAGCCACATCCCCAGCCATATTCATGTATTTTTATTTTTATTTTTATTTGGCTTGAACTCAGGATCTGGGTGCTGTCCCTTAGGGATTTTTTCCCCCCTCAAGACTGGCTCTCCACTACTTAAGTTACAGCTCTACTTCTGGCTTTTTTCTGATTAACTGGAAATAAGAATATCACAGATGTAGCCAGGCACCAGTGGCTCATGCCTGTGATCCTAGCTACTCAGGAAGCTGAGATCTGAGGATTGCAGTTCAAAGCCAGCCCAGGCAGGAAAGTCCATGAGACTCTTTTCTCTAATTAACCAACAGAAAACTGGACATGATGCTGTGACTCAAGTGATAGAGCATTCACCTTGAGCTGAAGAGCTGAGGGACAGTGCCCAGACCCACAGTTCAAACCCCACAAGTGAGCAAAAAAAAGAAAAGGGGAGAATATCACGGATGTGTCTGACTTTTTTTGGGGGGGACGGGGGTTAGTCGTGGGGCCTGAACTCCGGGCCTGGGCGCTGTCCCTCAGCTCTTCAGCTCAAGGCTAGCGCTCTACCACTTGAGCCACAGCGCTACTTCCAGCTTTTCTTCTTTTTGCTTATGTGGTGCTGAGGAATCAAACCCAGGGCCTCATGCATGCAAGGCAAGTGCTCTACCACTGAGCTACCTTCCCAGCCCTGGATGTGTCTGACTTTGAACCAGGATCCTCAGATTTGAGTAGCTAGGATTATAGGTGTGTGCCACCAGTGATAGGCATTGTTTTAAGTTGGTTTCATGAATGAGCCTTTGTAATTCCCACAATCCTTTTAGGCCAGAGGTATCCTGGTCCTCACAGGGTCTGGGAGAATGGTGGGCCAGGTGGTTAAGTAGCTAGCTAGCCCCAGGTTCCACAGGGAGGAAGGGGCAAAGCCTGCAGATCTCACAACCTTACTTTTCTACACTTCAGAGATGTTCACATCCATCTCATGGGATCCTCCTGCCAATCATCCTTAGGGGGTGGGGTTATCTTCTGCATTTTACAGATAAGGCTCTGTTGGGCCCAGAAGAATAGACCTAGACCAAAGCAAGAATGCCAGTCCAGTAGTAACTGGTGATTCATTTCCAGAGTGAGATTGACAAGGGGACCATTCATCATACATGTACCTGGTGGCTTTATGTCAGGTCTCTTTCCGTTAATTATCACCCTGGGGGTTGCCTCAGACCGGATGAAACAGTGACTGCTAATGCATCCTGATTTTGTAGGGGAAAAGACTCAGAAGGATAAAGCCTTTCTGAGATTGCACAGGGGCAGGAAGTGGCAGAGTGGGGATTTGAACTCAGGTTTCATCTCCATACCATACTGTATCCCCTCATCATGCAACACCTCTGATTAGTCCCAGATTCTTACTCAGCTTCTTCTTCTGGCTCTCAGGGAGGCAGATGATGCTCAATCCGTTGGTGAGAAGAATCCAGCCTGGAAAGAGGACCTCCAACACCTTTGTCAAGCCTGCTGAGCCCCCAGAGAGTGAGTTCTCCCTGGAGTAGGGAGGTCTTGGCAAGGGATGGGGGGGTGCTTTACTACACTTGCTAAGTGAGTCTCTAAAGCCAGGGAAAACCCACTTTTATTATATCTATCTATCTATCTATCTATCTATCTATCTATCTATCTATCTATCTATCTATCTCTCTATCTCTCTATCTGCAGCTGGTCCTGGGCTTGAATTCAAGGCCTGGGCAATGTCTCTGAGCTTTTATTCTCTATCACTTTAGTGAGCCACGGTTCCTTTTCTAGCTTTGTGCTGGTTAACTGGAGATAAGAGTGGACTCATGGACTTTCCTGCCCGGGTTGGCTTTGAACTGTGATCCTCAGATCTCAGCCTCCTGAGTAGCTAGGATTACAGGTGTGACTGGGCAGAAACCCACTTTTATACAGGGCATTAGGCCTCCATCTTTGTCCAGGCAGAGAGACTCAGTAGACAGCTCAGAATCAGTAAGTGTCTAACATACTCCAGGAAAGCTACAGAGCTTGCTAGGACCTGGAGCCCAAGCTGGTGGGGAGGGAAGGGTCTGAGGAAGGAGAGACCAGCAGGGCTCAGATCCCCAGTACCCTGTGTCCTTGCTAAGAAGTTTTATGGCTTTCTCACTTTGAGCTGAAATGCTCAGGAACAGAACCCAGGCCCAGAGTTCAAGACCCACAACTGACAAAAAAACAAACAACAACAACAAAAAGAAAAAACAAGAAATTTTATGGCTTGGCACTGGTGGCTCATGATTTAAAGCCAGCCCGGGCAGAAAAGTCTATGAGACTCTTATCTCCAATTGACCACTAATAAACCAGAAGTGGAGCTGTGGCTCAAGTGGTAGAGCATTGTCCTTGAGTGACGAAGCTAAGGGACAGTGCTTAGACTCTGAGTTCAAGCCCCAAGACCACACACACATGCACATGCACGTGTTTATGCGTGCGCATGTGCACACATGCACACATACAAATTACACTGGGAAGTGGCGTGTTCCAAGTTGTATGGCAAAAGAATATACTGTCTGGGAGGGGTGAGGATGGGGTAATGAGGAGACTTGAGGTAGAAACCAGCCAGGAAATTGCTACCAGTTCTTCCAGGACCATGAGGACTTGAAAGGAGGAGTTGGCATTGTACAGGACAAGTCACCTTAGAGAAATGGCTGGTGAAACCAGGTGCTGGTGGCTCACACCTGTAATCATAGCTACTCAGCAGGCTGAGATCTGAGGAGCGCAGTTCAAAAGCCAGCCTGGGTAGGAAAGTCTATGAGACTTTTATCTCTAATTAACTACCAGAAAACTGGAAGTGGAATTGTGGTTCAAAGTGGTAGAGCACTAGTCTTGAGTAAAAGAATTCAGGGACAGCATCCAGGTCATGAGTTCAGGCACCACACCAACCAACAAACAAACAAAAAATCAATCGCACAGCTTCTAGTCAGAAGGCCATTGCTATATCTGAAAGCAGATGCCCAACTGTGTCCCAGAGCAGACCTGACTTTTTTTTTTTGGTCCCCATCCTGGGATTTGAACTCAGGGCCTTTGCACTGTCCCTTAGATTTTTTGCTCAAGGCTGGCAGTCTACCACTTGAGCCACAGGTCCACTTCCAGCTTTTTTAATAGTTAATTGGATTTAAGTGTTCCAAAGCCAGGTGCTGGTAGCTCACACCTGTAATCCTAGTTCCTTAGGAGGCTGAGATCTGAGGATCATGGTTCAAAGCCAGCCCAAGCAGGAAAAGTCCATGAGACGCTTATCTCCAATAAACCATTCAGAAAACCAGAAGTGACACTGTGGCTCAAGTGGTAGAGTGCTAGCCTTGAGCTGAAGAGCTGAGGGACAGCATGGAGGCCCAGAGTTCAAGCCCCACAACCAATTAAAAAAAAAGTCTCATGGACTTTCCTGCCCAGGCTGGCTTTGAACCATGATCCTCAGATCTCAGACTCCTGAGTAGCTAGGATTACAGGTGTGAGCCACTGGCACCCAGCTCCTTGAGACTCTTATCTCTAATTAACCACTAGAAAACTGGAAGTGGAATTGTGGTTCAAAGTGGTAGAGCGTTAGTCTTGAGCAAAAAAAGAAAAAAAAGCTCCATGACCAACTAAAAAACAAAAGAGGGGCTGGGAAAGTGGCTCAGTGGTAGAGTGCTTGCCTTGCATGCATGAGGCCCTGGGTTCGATTCCTCAGCATCACATAAGCAGAAAAAGCTGGAAGTGGTGCAGTGGTTCAAGTGGTAGAGTGCTAGCCTTGAGCTGAAGAGCTGAGGGACAGCATCTAGGCCCAGAATTCAGACTCCATGAGTGACAAAAAAAATCAATTAATCAGTCAATCAATAAAAAAAAAAAAAAAAAAAAAACCCAAAAGAGATGGGGAGGGGTGATGAGCAGGTCCAGGGAAGATTCTCAAAGGATCAAACAGGAAAGGAGGACCGGCTGTCACTTGTCACTCCAGCAATGGCTTCTCCCCCAATCTGTCCCATCAGGTCCTGGTGAGTGGACAGCGTGGTTTAACATCGACCACCCAGGCGGGAAGGGTGACTATGAGCGCCTGGACGCCATTCGCTTCTACTACGGGGACCGAGTGTGTGCCCGGCCCCTCCGGCTGGAGGCCCGGACCACTGACTGGATGCCTGCAGGCAGCAATGGCCAAGTGGTCCATGGCAATCCCCGAGAGGGCTTCTGGTGCCTCAACCAGGAACAGAGGCCTGGCCAGAACTGCTCCAATTACACTGTGCGCTTCCTCTGTCCACCAGGTGAGTGTGGGACTCCCCCTCACCCCACCCCATCTCGGCCCCCCTCCAACCTTAGATGGGCCTAACCTGGACCTGAACATGACTCCCAGGCACGCATTTGACTCTGCAATGCAATCCAAGTGGTAGCCGGGCACCGATAGCTCAGTCATCCTAGCTAATCAGAGAGTAGAGATTTGAGTTTCCTAGTTCGAAGCCAGCCCAGGCAGGGATGTTCCTAAGACTTTTATCCCCAATTACCAAGAAAACAAATGCAGAAAGTAGAAATATGGGGGCTGGGAAGTTGGCTCAGTGGTAGAGCACTTGCCTTGCATGCCTGAAGCCCTGGGTTCGATTCCTCAGCACCACATAAGCAAAAAGAAAAAAGAAAAAAGCCGGAAGTGGTGCTGTGCCTCAAGTGGTAGAGCGCTAGCCTTGAGCTGAAGAGCTGAGGGACAGCGCCCAGGCTCAGAGTTCAGGCCCCACGACCGGATCCCCCCCCCCAAAAAAAAGAAAGTAGAAATATGGCTCAAGTGGGAGGGTGCTAGTCTTGAGCAAAAGAGCTCAGGGACAACAATGCCCAGGATTCGAGTTCAAGCCCCAGGACTAGTACAAGTAGAGGGAGGAGGAGGAGGAGGAGGAGGAGGAGGAGGAGGAGGAGGAGGAGGAGGAGGAGGAGGAGGAGGAGGAGAAAGAAGAAGAGGAGCAGGAAGAGGAGGAGGAAGGGGGAGGAGGAGGAGGAGAGGGAAAGAGGAGGAAGGGGGTAGGAGGGGGGAGAGAAGGAAGAGGAGGAAGAAGAGGAGGACTGGGAATGTGGCTTAATGGTAGAGTGCTTGCCTAACATGCATGAAGCCCTGGGCTCAGTTCCTCAGTACCACATAAACAGAAAAAGCCAGAAGTGGCACTGTGGCTTAAGTGGTAGAGTGCTAGCCTTGAGCAAAAGAAGCTCAGGGACATTGCCCAGGCCTTGAGTTCAAGCCCTAGGGCTGACAAAAAAAGAAAGAAAAACAAAACAAAAGAAACCCAAGTAGTATCCTTAGACTGTGAGCCTTCATGGGTTTTCTCCGCCAGCCTGCTGTGCTGAGTTGGAGTAAGGCAGTTGGAAGGGCCACAGAATCTGGATAGGGCCGAGCTGTTGGGGTTCGAATCTCCATCCTACTGTACATCCTACTGTGTTCTTAGACATGTTTTCTCAAGCTCCCATAACTTCAGATTTCTCACAAGTAAAACAGAGGTAATAGTAAATCTTCATAGGTTCTGTGTGTGTGTGTGTGTGTGTGTGTGTGTGTGTGTGTGTGTGTGTGTTGGCACTGAGGCTTGAATTCAGGGCTTTTTACCCTTGCTTAGCTTTTTCCTTCAAGGTTAGTGCTCTACCACTGAGCCACAGCTCCACTTCTGTCTTTTTGGTGGCTAATGAAAGATAAGAGTCTTATAAACTGTTTCTTTCTTTTTTTTTTTTTTTTGGTCATGGGCTTGAACTCTGGGCTTGGGCACTGTCCCTCAGCTCTTCATCTCAAGGCAAGTACTCTACTGCGTGAGCCACAGTGCCACTTTCAGTTTTCTAGTGGTTTATTGGAGATAGGAGTCTCACGGCCTTTCCTGCCTGTGCTGGCTTTGAACCTCGATCCTCAGATCTCAGCCTCCTGAGTAGCTAGGATTATAGGCATGAGTCTCATAAACTTTTTAGTCCAGGTTGGCCTTGAATCTCAATCCTCAGATCTCAGCCTCCTGTATATTTAGGATTGCAGGCAATGAGCCACTAGTGTCTATCTTCCTTTGTGCAAATTAGAGACTCTGCTTCTCCTTTTAAAAAAAATATTGTGATTGTAAAGGTGATGTACAGAGGGGTTACAATTACATAAGTCAGGTGACGAGTACATTTCTTTTTGGTTATTACTCCTTCCCTCGCTCTCTCCCAGTCTTTCCTTCCCATCCTCACCCAAAAAGTTCTTTTCCACATAGTGTCTAGAGTTGATGCTGCTTCTGGAAGCTCTGGACTTCTCTATTTGGGGAGGATCACTGAGATAAAGATAACTCTCAATGTCATCCATGATGGAAATGGAAATCCTGTCTCTCCTCACCAGCTTCTGGCTCAGACTTCCCTACCCAGTCCCTTAGGGAGGGAAAGGAAGCCACATCTCTCTGTCAATTCCACTTTTCAGGGTCCCTGCGTGGAGACGTGGAGCGCATCTGGAGCCCTTGGTCTCCCTGGAGCAAGTGCTCAGCGGCTTGTGGTCACACCGGAGTCCAGACCCGCACACGCACCTGCCTGGCAGAGACCGTGTCAATGTGCACTGAGGCCACAGAAGAGGGCCAGCTCTGCGTGAGCCAGGCCTGCAGAGGTACCCTGCCCCCTCCTATCACTGGACAAGGAAGGGTGGTGGGTTAGAGGGTTAGCCTGAATCCAATTATTCACTCTCACCTAGTCTTAATTCAGCATATATCATCAGAGGCTGTGATGGAAGATAATGAGGGTAGCATAGGAACACAGAGCTGGGTCAGAGATTGTAGCTTGGAGAAATCCAGGAAGACCTGCTGGAGGAGGTATCCTGAGCTAAGTTGGATGGATGGGCAGGAATTAGTCACCCAGGCAAGCAAAGGAGGGTTACAAAGGCTTAAGGAGGAAGGGAGAGGATGTGGAGTCTGGAATGTGGGTGGAGGACTGGGTCAGAATCCATAAAGCCTAGCTGACGTGGCTCTTTGTCCAACAGCATGTGACCTGACCTGCTCCATGGGGCAGGCGAATGCTGACTGTGATGCCTGCATGTGCCAGGATTTCATGCTTCATGGGGTTATCTCCCTCCCTGGGGGGGCCCCTACCTCAGGGGCTACCGTCTACCTGCTGACCAAGACACCCAAGATGCTCACCCGGACAGACAGTGATGGCAGGTTCCAAGTCCCCGGCTTGTGTCCAGATGGCAAAAGCCTCCTGAAGGTCACCAAGGTCAAGTTTGCCCCTATTGTGCTCACCATGCCAAAGACCAGCCTGAAGACAGCCACTGTCAACGCAGAATTCACCAGGGCAGGTAACTCTGTGGTGTGCTCAGTGCTAGCTTTATCAGCTTATGCCAAGAAAACCCAAATCTTTACTATCGTCCATAGGCCCTAGATCATTGGGGGCTCCCTCATTGTTCCTACATTCCCCCCAACATGCAGCCACTCTACTCCAGCCACAATGCCTCCTAACTTTTCTGCAAATATAGCTGTCTCTGGGCCTTTGCACTTGCTGTGTATATTTTGGATGGCGTGTTCTTCCCCCATACATTGATAGGTCTGGCTCCCTAAAGGATGAGCTCTTCCCTAGTCACTTTGTGTATGTGTGTGGACACTTGTGTGCATACGTGTGCGCTAGATGCTTTCCCATAGCTTTCTTGCTCAAGGCTGATGCTTTACCTCTTGAAACACACCTCCACCTTCAGCTTTTTGCTGGCTCATTGGCAATTAGAATAGCACTGACTTTCCTGCTTGGGGCTTTGAACTATAATCCTTAGATTTCAGCCTTCTGAGTAGCTAGGATTACAAGCATGAGCCACTACTTCCCCCTGCTCCCTTGCTGTCAACTTATCTTTAGGAGGTTTGGAGATCATGGAGAGAGGGGGGTTGGGAGATCAAACTGGCACTGACTGGCCAAAAACTCTGCTAGGAACAATCAAACATGAATATGACATTATTCAAACAGCCATTTCTGTCCCAGGAATCATGGCTGACACAAGGTTTCTTGGATTCCCCATTGTCCCACTCAGTTTATGCCTGAGAAGCCCCACAAACAGGTTCTGAGATAAGGTGTGATGGGGAAAACTCCATTCCAATCTAGTTCCTCTAGAAACAAGCTCAAACTGGGCACCCACAGCTCACACCTATAATCCTAGCTATTCAGAAGGCTGAGATCTGAGGATTGAGATTTGAAACCAGTCAAGACAGGAAAGTCTGTGGGATTCTTACCTCCAATTAACAACCCCCTCCCCCTCAAAAAAAAAAAAAAAGAAAAGAAATAAAGAAAAGGTGGAAGTGGAGATGTGGTTTAAGTGGTAGAGCACCAGCCTTGAGTTAAAAAAAGCCAAGCCACAGTGCAATGCCTTGAGTTCAAGCCTTAATATTGGCATAAAAAAGAAAAGAAAGGGGGGGGAAGGATGGAGGGAAAGAAGGAAGGAAGGAAGGAAGGAAGAAAAGAAAGAAGAAGAAAGAAAGGGAGAGGAAGGAAGGAAGAAAGGAAAGAAAGGAAGAAAAGGAAAAGAAAGGAAAGGAACGGAAAGGGAAAGAAAGGAAAGAGAAAGAAAGGAAACACTCAGAGTGGGGTGAAGCTATTCAACTTAAGCACCAACAAATACCTGAGAGAACAACTCTATAGAACCTGTTATTAAACAAACAAATAAACAAAGCACAAATAAATAAATGTTTCCCATCTTCTGTCGCAGAGACTCCCTACATTGTGATGAACCCTGCGAGCAAAGCACGGAGAGCCGGGCAGAGTGTTTCCCTGTGCTGCAAGGCCACGGGCAAGCCCAGTCCAGACAAGTACTTCTGGTGTGTATGCTGCCAGCCGCCCTGCTCAGTTCTCTTCTTGGAAATCAGCTTGCTTCCACTGAGTCTAAATAATAATAATAATAACCAACAGACAAGTGTTAGCAGTCAAGCCCTGGGGTCTGGCCTGGATATGCTCACTTTTAAATGGGGATAGAGGCTGCCCAAACTACACCAGTAAGCACACTGGCATCTCAATGCTGGGGTCTTCCAGACTATCTCTGCTCACAGGGATCTGACCTGCACACCCAGAACAAGATTTCTCCAGTTTTCATGCTTCTGTATCAAAGACAGACAAGGCCAGAATACCCCAGTGCTATGAGTCCTGCTTTTTTTTTTTTTTTTGGTCGGTCATGGGGCTTGAACTTAGGGACTAAGTACTGTCCCTGAACTTTTTTTTTTTTGGTGGGGGGGGAGGTCAGTTGTGGGGCTTGAACTCTGGGCCTGGGTCCTGTCCCTCAGCTCTTCAGCTCAAGGCTAGTGCTCTACCACTTGAGCTACAGTGCATCCGGTTTTCTGGTGGTTTATTGGAGATAAGAGTCTCACAGACTTCCCTGCCCAGGCTGGCTTTGAACTATGATCCTCAAATCTCAGCCTCCTGAGTAGCTGGGATTACAGGCATGAGCTACTGGCGCCAGCTGTCCCTGAGCTTTTTTTTTGTTCAAGGCTGGTGTTCTACCAGTTTGAGTCACAGTTCCACTTCTGATTTTCTGGTGGTTAATTGGAGGTAAGAGTCTCACAGACTTTCCTATGTGGGCCGGCTTTGTCCTGTGGTCCTCAGATCTCAGGCTCCTAAGTAGGTAGGGTTATAGGCAAGAGCCACCAATACCTGGCTAAGCCTGCCTTTTTTAAATTTTTATTTTTAATGCTAGTCCTAAGGGCTTGAATTCAAGGCTTAGACACTGTCCCTCAGCTTTTATATTCAAGGCTCATGCTCTATCACTTGAGCCACAGCTCCACTTCCAGCTTTTTTGTGGTTAATTAGAGATAAGAGTCTCAGGGACTTTCCTGCCCAAGTCTGGCTTTGAACTGTGATCCTCAGATCTCAGCATCTGAGTAGTAGGATTACTGGTGTAAGACAGTGCCTTGCCAGTCCTGCTTTTTAATAGTTATTTTGGAGATAGAGTCAAGCAAACTTTTCTGCCTGCTCTGACTTTGAACCTCAATCCCATAGATCTTAGCCTCCTGAGTAGCTAGGATTACAGGCATAGACCCACTGCCTGGCTTCATTCCTCTTGTTTTGTAAATCAGAGAGGTGAGATGATACATCCAAGGATGCACAGCCAGTTAAGTGTGTGTGGAGGGGGGAGAGGGAGGACTAGGGAGACCCAATTACTCCACTCCCAGTGCAATCAATATTCTTAGGTGAGCCATGTCACAAGTGATGCTGAGATCTGCAGGAACTCATCCTCCATCCATCTTCCTAGCTGTTTGGTCCTGGCACTGTCCCCATGGATACCCTCTCCCCACCCCCCAACATGCGCAGCTTACTCAGGCTTGACCTCTCCATTCTTGCAGGTATCACAATGACACGCTACTGGATCCCTCCCTCTACAAGCACGAGAGCAAGCTGGTACTGAGAGGTCTGCAGCAGGACCAGGCTGGGGAGTACTTTTGTAAGGCACAGAGTGATGCTGGGGCTGCAAAGTCCCACGTTGCTCAGCTCACGGTCATAGGTAAGCCTATCTGGTTCCCAGGGATCCTGGGCCTGCCACAGGACTGGTGGTGAAAACTCAGGGTTTTCTGTGGTATGCCCTCAGGGACACAGAGATAGCACAGAAGTCAAGGGATGTGGGCTTTTTTTTGGCAGCGGGGGGGGGGGGGGGGAAGGAGAGGAGGGTAGGGTTTGTGCATACGTGTGTGTGTGTGTGTGTGTGTGTGTGTGTGTGTGTGTGTATTGATCCTAGGCTTGAACTCAGGGCCTGGGCCCTGGGCACTGTCCTTGAGCTTTTGTGCTCAAGGCTAGCGCTCAACCACTTGAGCCACACTTGGATTTTGGGTGATTAATTGAAGGTAAGAGTCTCAAGGAATTTCCTGCCTGGCCTGACTTTGAATTGTGATCCTCAGATCTCAACCTCTGGATTAGCTAGAATTATGGGCGTGAGCCACTGACACCTGGCCAGAAGGTAATTTTTTTTGGCCAGTCCTGGGGCTTGAACTCAGGGCCTGGACACTGTCCCTGAGCTTTTTTTTTGTTCAAGGCTAGCACTCTACTACTTGAGCCACAGTACCACTTTTGGCTTTTTCTGTTTATGTGTTTTTTTTTCTTTTTTCTTTTTTTACCAGTCATGGGGCCTGAACTCTGGGCCTGGGCACTGCCCCTCAGCTCTTCAGCTCAAGGCTAGCACTCTACCACTGGAGCCACAGCGCCACTTCCGGCTTTTTCTGTTTATGTGGTGCTGAGGAATCAAACCCAGGGCCTCATGCTTGCAAGGCAAGCGCTCTACCACTGAGCCACCTTCCCAGCCCATGTTTATGTGGTACTGAGGAATAGAACCCAGGGCTTCATTCATATTAGGCAAATACTCTACCACTGAGCCACATTCCCAACCCCAGAAGGTGATTTTTTTTTTTTTTTTGGTTGGTTGTGGGGCCTGAACTGTGGGCCTGGGTGCTGTCCCTCAGCTCTTCAGTTCAAGTCTAGCACTCTAGCACTTGAGCCACAGCACTGCTTCTGGCTTTTTCTGCGTTTGTGGTGCTGAGGAATTAAACTCAGGGCCTCATGCATGCAAGGCAAGCACTCTACCACTGAGCCACCTTCCCAGCCCCAAGGTGATTTTTTTTTTTTTTTACTGGGGTTTGGAGTCTGGGCTTTGAGATTTCTGGGTAAGAGCAGCTCCACTTGATGAGTATGGACGGGATTGGGAGAAATGGGGGAGACAATAGAAAGGTGACATCAATCAAGATGCATTGTACTCATAATCTGACTTGTTGAATTTAAACCCCTTATACACTGAGTGCTATGGCTCATGCCTGTAATCCTTGCTACTCAGGACACTGTGACCTAGAGAATAGCCATTTGAATACAGTCTGGGCAGAAAAATCTGCAGACACCATCTTCAATTAACCAGCAAAAAAAAAGCTGCATGGGAGGTTTGACTCAAGTGGTAGAGTGCCAACTGAGCAATAAAGTGGAGGGAGTGTGAGGTCTTGGGTTCAGGCTCCAGTACTTAATCCCAGAGAATAGGGAGAACCTGTGTGTGGAGGTGGAGATGCTGCAAATTTAGGGGCTGGAGTGGGCAAAGGTACAAAAGTGGGGGATGGACGGGACTTTATATGAAAGGGTGACCCAGATGCTTCTAGTAGAGAACTTTGGGGGAGGGGAAGAGACAAAGGCCAAAAGACCTATCAGAAGCTTGTCTTTGGAAACTGAGAGGGAAGAAGAATTATCTTAGTAATTGGCTCAAACAAAGCATAACAAAACAAAACAAAAAGCAGAGAAAGAGAAAATATATTGCAAGAATTAATGGATATTACCCAGGCTCCAAGAAAGTTGAGCAACAGATGTCAGACCACAAAAAACTAGATTTGGGGTCACAGCAGAATTGTAGAGCCTCCCTTCCACCCCAGCATTGATTCCCAACCCATCCCACGAATGAGCCCTGTTTAACACAGTAATTGTTTTCTTTCTCCTTCCTTCCTTCCTTCCTTCCTTCCTTCCTTCCTTCCTTCCTTCCTTCCTTCCTTCCTTCCTTCCTTTTTCTTCCTTTCTTTTTCTTCCTCCTTCCTTCCTTCTTTCCTTCCTTGCTTGCTTGCTTTTCTTTCTTTCTTTCTTTCTTTGGTGCCAGTTCCTGGGGCTTTAACTCAGTGCCTGGGCACTGTCCCTAAGCTTCTTTTGCTCAAGGTTATTGCTCTACCACTTGAGCCACAGCTTTACTTCTGGCTTTCTTGGTAGTTAAGTGGAGACTTAACAGACTTTTCTGCCCAGGCTGGCTTTGAACCATGATCCTCAGATCTCAGCCTCTTGTGTAGCTAGGATTATAGGCACAAGCCACTGGTGTTCAGATGGTACAGTGATTTTATTATTATTATTATTTTTTTTTTTTTTTGCTCGGTCGTGAGGCTTGAACTCTGGGCCTGGGCACTGTCCCTGCGCTCTTCAGCTCAAGGCGAGTGCTCTACCGCTTGAGCCACAGCACCATTTCCACTTTTCTAATGATTTATTGGAGATAAGAGTCTCATGGACTTTCCTGCCCGGGCTGACTTTGAACCGTGATCCTCAGATCTCAGCCTCCTGAGTAGCTAGGATTACAGGCGTGAGCCACTGGCACCCCGCTGGTACAGTAATTTTTAAAGATTTATTTTATAATCTTTAAATAGTTGTACGAAGGAGTTTTAATTCAACAGATCAGTTTATGTTTTCATCAGTGATACTTCTTACATCATTCCCCTCCATGGCACAATGATTTCTTTCTTTTCTTTTCTTTTTTTTTTTTGGTGTTGGTCCTAGGACTAGGACTTGAACTCAGAGCCTGGGCAATAACCCTGAGCTGTTTTGCTCAAGATTAATTGTCTACCATTGCAACCATAGTTCCATTTTTGGGGTGGTTAATTTGAGGTAAGAGTCTCACTGGGACTTTTCTGCCTGACTGGATTGAAGCGCAATTCTCTGATCTGAGTCTTCTGAGTAGCTAGGATCACAGGTGTGAGCTACTAGTGATTTTTTTTTTTTTGTCAGTTGTGGAACTTGAACTTAGGGCCTGAGCACTGTCCCTAAGATTTTGTACTCAAGGTTAATGCTCTACCACTTTAAGCCACAGCTTCTCTTCCAATTTTTTTTGGTGCTTAATTGGAGATAAGAGGATCACAGGGACTTTTCTGCCAGGGCTTTGAACTGTGATCCTCAGATCTCAGCCTCCTGAGTAGTAGCTATAATTACAAGTATGAGCCACCAGCACCCAGTAAAAACTACATGTTGTATATAATATATTATATATTATATTTAATATATTATTGTAGATTATATACTTACTATATAACATTATATTTTACATAATATATTATATATATTTTATATATATGGCCCTAACTATAGCATAAAGGAGAAATAAATTTAAGTTTAAAATAAAAGCAAATTAACCAATCTAATAAAATAAGAAAATAATTTAAATGCAAATTAGTATTAGTTCAATATCTACATGCTTTGGCACAGCAATCCAAATGGGTAAGCGATGGGCTGGGATGTAGCTCAGTGGCAAAGCGCTTGCCTAGCAAGTGCAACGTCCTGGGTTCGATCCCCAGTACCAAAAAAGAAAAGACAAAAAAAATAGTTAAAAAAAACAACCCCAAACAAATGGGTAAGCGAAGCTGGGTACCAGTGGCTCATACCTATAATCCTAACAACTTAACAAACTGAGATCTGAAGATCCAGGTTCAAAGTCAGCCTAGGCAGACAAATCTATGAGACTCTATTCCCAAAATAACTAACAAACATTCAGGCTGGAGTTCAAGCCCCAGTATAGGCACAATTACTAACCAAATAAAACCCCAGAGAGGTGACATTGAAGGTTAGCAATGTGACACAGTAGAGTAATTTCCTAGGAAGTATGATGTCCCAAGTTTGACCTCCAGCACCACACACACACACACACACACACACACACACACACACACACACACACAAAAGGCTAGGCACCAAGTTGCTCACCCCTGTAATCCTAGTTACTCAGGAGGCTGAGATCTGAGGATCAGGATTTGAAGACAACCCAGGCAGGCAAATCTGTGAGATTCGAATATCCAATTAATCACTAAAAAGCCAGAGTGGGGGGCATGGATCAAGTGGTTGAGCATGAGCCTTGAGCAGAAAAAACTCAGGGACAGTACCCAAGTCCTGAGTTCAGCACCAAAACAAAGGGGGGGTAGGGAGAGGGTAGAGTGACAGAGAGGTACTCTGTGGAAGACATAAACTTACATGCTACCACCCCCCCCCCCCCACTTTCCTCCTCAGCACCTGATGAGCCTCCTTGCAACCCAATCCCTGAGAGCTACCTCATCCGGCTGCCCCATGACTGCTTCCAGAATGCCACCAACTCCTTCTACTACGATGTGGGCCGCTGTCCTGTGAAGACGTGTGCGGGGCATCAGGATAACGGCATCCGGTGTCGGGATGCAGTGGAGAACTGCTGTGGCATCTCCAGAATGGAAGAGCGGGAGATCCAGTGCCATGGGTACACACTGCCCACCAAGGTGGCCACGGAGTGCAGCTGCCAACGGTGTGCAGAGACCCGGAGCATCGTGAGGGGCCGGGTCAGTGCTGCGGACAATGGCGAGCCCATGCGCTTTGGCCACGTGTACCTGGGGGGCCATCGTGTGAGCATGACGGGCTACAAGGGCACCTTCACCCTCCATGTCCCCCAAGACACGGAGAGGCTGGTGCTCACGTTCGTCGACAGGTTGCAGAAGTTTGTCAATACGACCAAAGTGCTCCCCTTCAACCGGAAGGGGAGTGCTGTATTCCATGAAATCAAGATGCTTCGCCGGAAGGAACCCATCACTTTGGATGCGATGGAGACCAACATCATCCCCCTGGGAGAGGTGGTGGGCGAAGACCCCGTGGCTGAACTGGAAATCCCATCGGGGGCTTTCTACCGACAGAACGGGGAGCCCTATACGGGCAAAGTGCAGGCCAGCGTGACCTTCCTGGACCCCAGGAATATTTCCACAGCCACAGCTGCCCAGAGCGATCTGAACTTTGTCACGGATGAAGGGGACACGCTGCCCCTTCGTACATACGGCATGTTCTCCGTGGACTTCAGAGATGAGATCACAGCTGAGTCACTTAATGCTGGCAAAGTCAAGGTGCACCTGGACTCCACCCAGGTCAAGATGCCGCAGCACGTGCCCACCATGAAACTGTGGTCGCTCAACCCAGACACGGGGCTGTGGGAGGAGGAAGGGGATTTCAAATTTGAAAGCCAAAGGAGGCACAAAAGGGAAGAGAGAACTTTCTTGGTGGGCAACATGGAGATACGTGAGAGACGCCTCTTTAACCTGGACGTCCCAGAAAGCCGAAGATGCTTCATTAAAGTGAGAGCCTATCGGAGTGAGAGGTTCTTGCCCAGTGAGCAAATTCAGGGTGTCGTCGTCTCCGTGATCAATCTGGAGCCCCAAACTGGCTTCTCATCCAACCCCAGGGCCTGGGGTCGCTTTGACAGTGTCATTACAGGCCCCAATGGAGCCTGTCTGCCTGCCTTCTGTGATGACCAAACCCCAGATGCTTATTCTGCCTATGTCCTGGCAAGCCTGGCTGGGGAGGAACTAGAAGCAGTGGAATCTTCTCCTAAATTCAACCCCAACGCGATCGGTGTCCCTCAGCCCTACCTTCACAAGCTCAAGTACCGCCGGACGGACCACGAAGATCCAAGGGTTAAAAAGACAGCTTTCCAGATCAGCATGGCGAAGCCAAGGCCCAACTCTGCTGAGGAGAGCAATGGACCCATCTATGCCTTTGAGAACCTCCGGGCCTGTGAAGAGGCACCCCCTAGTGCAGCCCACTTCCGCTTCTACCAGATCGAGGGAGATCGGTATGATTATAACACCGTCCCTTTCAATGAAGATGACCCCATGAGCTGGACTGAAGACTATCTGGCATGGTGGCCCAAGCCAATGGAATTCAGGGCGTGCTATATCAAGGTGAAGATTGTAGGACCCCTGGAGGTGAATGTCCGATCTCGAAACATGGGGGGCACCCACCGGCAGACAGTAGGGAAGCTGTATGGAATCCGAGATGTGAAGAGTACAAGAGACAGGGACCAGCCGAATGTCTCATCCGCCTGTCTAGAGTTCAAGTGTAGTGGGATGCTCTATGACCAGGACCGTGTGGACCGCACACTGGTCAAGGTCATTCCCCAGGGCAGCTGCCGTCGAGCCAGTGTGAACTCCATGCTGCATGAGTACCTGGTCAACCATCTTCCATTGGCGGTCAACAATGACACCAGTGAATACACCATGCTGGCACCCCTGGATCCACTGGGCCATAACTATGGCATCTATACCGTCACCGATCAGGACCCTCGCGTGGCCAAGGAGATTGCACTTGGCCGGTGTTTCGATGGCACGTCTGATGGCTCCTCCAGAATCATGAAGAGCAACGTGGGCGTGGCCCTCACCTTTAACTGTGTGGAGAGGCAGGTGGGCCGCCAGAGTGCCTTTCAGTACCTCCAGCCCCCGGCTGCAGGCACCAGCCAAGGAAGAGTGCCCTCTTCCAGGAGGCAACAGCGGGCAAGCAGGGGTGGCCAGCGCCGGCGAGGAGGGGTGTCTTCCCTGAGATTTTCTGGAGTTGCTCAGCAGCCTCTGAACAACTAAGCATTGTGGTTTCTTCATCCTCCTCATGCCCCCACCCCCACCCCACCTCATGTGAGATTGATGGACAGCGCCTTAATTTAAACTCATCTGTTTTGGTGCGATTTGCTTCTTGGTTTTGTTTTTTTTTGTTTTTTTTTCCCCTCGCATCTCATTACTTACTGTCCTTGTCTCTTGGTTCTGATTGGCACAAAATAACAAGAACACAAAATAAAGACCCTTTGTGCCTTTTTTTTTTTCAAAGAGAAACACAAAAGTTGGGCACTGATGCTCACACCCATAATCCTAGCTACTCTAGAGGCTCAGATTTGAGGATTGTAGTTTGAGCCTAGCCCAGACAGGAAACTCTCCAAGATGCTTATTTCCAATTAACCAGCAAAAAAGCCAGAAGTGGAGTTGTGGTTATACAGTAGAGGCCAGCTTAAGCAAAGAACAAACAAAAACCTCAGGTGATAACCTAAGGTCCTGAGTTCAAGCCCTGTTCTGGCACCAAAAAAAGAAGGAAAAAAAGGAAAGAAAGAAAGAACGAAAGGAAGAAAGAAAGAAAGAAAGAAAGAAAGAAAGAAAGAAAGGAAAGAAAGAAAGAAAGAAAGAAAGAAAGAAAGAAAGAAAGAAAGAAAGAAAAAGAGCCGGGCGCTGGTGGCTCACGCCTGTAATCCTAGCTACTCAGGAGGCTGAGATCTGAGGATCACGGTTCAAAGCCAGCCCAGGCAGGAGAGACCGTGAGACTCCTATCTCCAATAAACCACCAGAAAACCGGAAGTGGCGCTGTAGCTCAAGTGGTACAGCGCTAGCCTTGAGCTGAAGAGCTGAGGGACAGCGCCCAGGCCCAGAGTTCAAGCCCCACGGCCGACCAAAAAAAAAAAGAAAGAGAAAGAGAGAAAGAAACAGAGGAGAAGGAGGTGGAGGAGGAAGAGAAAGAGAAGAACGGAGAGGAGGAAGAAAAGGAGGAGGAAGGGAAAGAAGGAGGGAAGGAGGGAGGGAATGAGGGAGGAAGGAAGGTAGGAAGGAAGGAAGGACAGACACAAGAAATTGGCCACTGGTAAAACCCCACAGCTTGGACTGTTTGTTCCTATTGTGACATGAATGCAAATGTACTTCTTTTTCTTTTTGCATGGTTTTGCCCACCTCTACAATAATGATAATCTGATGCTAAAAATTAAATAACCAATATAAAGCATATTTCTGGTCCTGCTCCATAAGATATATGCAAGGTGTCTATCACAGTTTATAAGTATAAATGGTGGTGAAATAAAAGAAATAAACAATATTTTTACTTGAAATGCAAATTATTTATTTTTTTTTACTCAATTTGGAACTCTAGTATGCCAAGTTAAGATATTGGATATAAGGTAATCGTGATGTCAGGTTTTAAGACCCCAGGCCCAAAGTCCAGAAGTCCCAAGTCACTCACCTCCATATGCTAAATAAACAAACATGGTGCAGGGCATAGGGAATGCAGATTGATTATATGGTAATCATGGGAAGACAGCACTGCAGTACATCTTCAGCCATCTTAAGGGATTCACGCATTGGCTTTAGGTTAAACAGGGAGAATTGACGGCAGGGATGAGGAAAGTATGCTGAGTTAAAACAATCTCAAATCACAGGTGAGGCCTGATGGACCATTAGCTCAGTCTTTGTCCCTGGGAGAATTCCAGAGAAGTTATTGCTGTACTACTGGAACAGAACAGGAACTAAATGGTTTCTAGAATGGCTGTTTTTTGTTTTTTTTTTTAAAGGGGTCTTAAGATGATAGACGCAGGCACTGGTAGCTCACACCTGTAATCCTAGCTACTTAGGCTGAAATCTGAAGATCGCAGTTCAAAGCCACCCTGGGCAGGAAAGTCCGTGAGACTTTTATCTCCAGTTAACCACCAGAAAACCGGAAAGTGGCGTTGTGACTCAAGTGGTAGAGTGCTCGCCTTGAGCTGAAGAGCTTAGGGACAGTGCCCAGGCCCAGAGTTCAAACCCCATAACAACAACAAAAAAAAAAGATAGGAAACAGTGCTTGTTTGAGGATACAAGATAGTTATCTGTGAGTCTTTTCTTTCCTCCTGCAACTGCGTGATTGCAAAGGGACTTGCAGAGGAGAATAGTTCTGATCAAAGGGTGCAAAGTTGGGGAGACTTTTAGTTAATTCACAGGACCCACCAAGAATATCTTCTTTTTTTTTTTGGTCCGGTCATGGGCCTGAACTCTGGGCCTGGGCGCTGTCCCTCAGCTCTTCAGCTCAAGGCTAGCACTCTACCACTTGAGCCATAGCGCCACTTCTGGCTTTTTTTTTTTTTTTCTGCTTATGTAGTGCCAAGGAATCGAACCCAGGGCCTCATGCATGCAAGGCAAGCACTCTACCACTGAGCCACCTTCCCAGCCCCTCAAGAGTATCTTCTGAGTTGTCTTTTACAATCATAGTTCCTCCCCCTTCTCCCCCTCCCCCCCCCCCCACAGGCCTGGGTTCTGTCTCTGAGCTTCTTTTGCTCAAGGTGAGCACTCTACCACTTGAGCCACAGTGCCACTTCTAGCTTTTTTGAGTAGTTTATTGGAGATAAGTCTCATGGAGTTTCCTGCCCAGGCTGGCTTCAAACTGTGATCCTCAGTCTCCTGAGTAGCTAAGATTACAGGTGTGAGTCACTGGCACCTGGCTTCATAGTTCCTTTATGAAGCCTGGAAAGAGCATCCCCCACATACATAATTACATTGTGTTGTCAATGATGTTTTGCTTCCCTATGTATCTGCTTTGTTCTTACTTACAGGCTTAGTGTAGCCCAGGGCAGATGTCAATAAATGCACTTTCTGGAGTTTGACTCTGAAGCCACCATCTTATTATTTTGACCATCAAAAGGAGCTAGCTGCTCGGAGCACAGGGTCTCTGGGAAGCAGTCACGAGGTCCTGTCCCCATTACAAGGTCAGGCAAAGAGACACATACTCCAATGTTCAAGTTCATTCTCATGGATCATATTTTCCATCTGCAGGGAAGAGCAGAGATTCCTGGAGTTATGAGCATGTTCTGGGCTCCTGAGCAAGACCAAAAATATGTCCCAATTTTTGTCTTTTCTTTCTTTCCATTTGGGGTGGTAATTATACAATAGCTTGCTCAAGATCTGGCAATCTGGCTAAGTGGTACTTTGGGCTTTCCCCAAGTCTATTGCCTTTTCCAGCTGGGCTGGCTGACCTTGCTCCAAATAATGCCTTCCTGCTTTCTCTTCCTCTTCCCTCTTTTTCTTTCCGCTCCCTCCCCGCCTTATTTCTCCGAAGCTCTTTATAGACACCCAGATTTTCCAGACACACCAGGTCTGGGTTATTACAGCTTCTGTCTCTGGGATTAAACCAACTGGTCCAAAATGGATAGGGTTTGGGTTTTGGAAAATGGTATTTGGTTTAAAATAGTAAGTCAGAGGCAAAGTGGGTGGTGTCGAATAATCTTAGCACATCAACTGACTGGGATTAGGGGAGAGGGTGGGGTGCACTCAGCTGCCCCTCTCCCAATTGTTCTAGAACTGTCTGGAGAGAAGTAGGAGAGGGGGGCTGGGGAGGGGGAGACAAGATTATTTACAATCAAGACAAAAAGCTTTCCCTGAGCCTTTGGCCAGCCCTGTGTACTATGTGAATCTATCTTGTTAGATGAGCATCTGTCCAATTCCTGGGTGTTCAATTCAGTTGTTTAAAATTTAGTTTATTATTGTGTTTAAACTCAGGGCCTAAGCATCATCCCTTAGCTTTTTTTTGCTAGAGATCACACTAGCAAAAGATTACACTTTTTGTTGGTTCATTGGAAATGAGTCTCACAGACTTTTCTGCCCTGGCAGGCTTCAAATGATGATCCTCAAATCTCAGTCTCCTGAGTAGCTAAGATTACAGGTATGAACCACTGGTGCCCATGGGAGTTGTTCATAATCAATTAGAAATATTTCTGGCTGAGTCCCCAAGACACTAAGAAATCAAACAAGGGGGCAGGGAGGGCACAGAATCCAAAGAAAAAGAGTGAAAAAGTAAATCACATGGAACATTGATGAAAGTGGGTGGAGATGGGAGGGAGGGATTGGGAGAGAATGAGGGAACAGATAAAAACTGTACAAAAGGAAATGTACTCATTACCTGACACTTGTAAATATAACCTCTCTGTATATCGCTTCTATAATAATAAACTCTAAAAAACAAAAAGCAGTGTGCTGGTGGCTCACGCCTGTAATCCTAGCTACTCAGAAGGCTGAGATCTGAGGATCGCAGGTCAAAGCCAGTCCAAGCAAGGAAAGTCTGCCAGACTCATCTTCAATTAACCATCAGAAAACCAGAAGTGGCGTTGTGGCTCAAGTGGTAGAGCGCTTGCCTTGAGCTGAAGAGCTGAGGGACAGCGCCCTAGCCCAGAGTTCAAGCCCCTCAGCCAACAAAAAGAAAAAAAAAATTGGGTTAAGGCTGGGGCTTAGTGGCTTTCTGATAGCAACTTGACCTCTCTTCAGACTTCACTTTTGCCCTCAATGGGCTGGCTGGACCAGAGTGTGTGTGTGTGTGTGTGTGTCTTTGTGTGTCTCCCCTCCCTTAATATTCTCAAAGGATGATTATTTGATCCTAGCGCCTAACTCCTCCTCCTTTAATGTGCTGTTGTTCTGTTACTGGGGGGTTGAACTCAGGGCCTCGTATTTTACACTTGGCTTTTTCATTCAAGGTTGGCACTCTGTCTCTTGAGCCATACCTCCACTTCCCCCAAACATGTATTGAATGCTTGCTGGATAACCAGGCCATGGAGCTTTTAGGAGATGTTAGAAAAATGGAGGAGAAAAGAAGGAAACAGGCTGGACTGGATCTTCCACAAGCAAGAACTGTTGATTGAAGAGCAGGGAGGGGCACAGATCTTCCCTCGGGAAGGGAGGTTGTCTTTGAAGCCCTGCTTGAAGGCAACTCTGAAGTCCCCCTGGATCGCTGCAGTGCCCTTTCCCCCCAGGCAGCCCTATGTGTCCACACCAGATTTGTCCTTCCAGGGGAGCCAGCACCGCTCACAGGCCAGACGGGGTGGTACATACCTGTAATCCTAGATACTTGGTAGACTGCGCCCAGAGGATGGCTTGAGTCCAGGAGTTCTGGGCTATGCT